ACTCTCGTATGTTTTGGAAAAACTCTCAATTTGTACTACCCAGTGGCTAGTCTCAAAAGTTGAACATATTCTTAAAGATCAATTTCTCCAAAACTGGCACAATGACATTATTTCTAGCCCCAAGGGAATTCACTATGAGCACCTAAATCCATTTCCCAATTTTGATGTATGTCTCCTCCTTCCAAAACGTATTTCTTTACCATTATTGAGATTTAGAACATGTAGCCATAGTTCATCTATTAAGACGGGCCGCTGGTATAATATTCCAAGGGATGAGAGAACGTGTCAACTATGCACTTCTAAAAGCCGATGAATATCATAATATGTTTCATTGCAAACCATTAGATACTTTGAGGAAACAATATTTACCCTCCCATCTAACCCATTTTCCCAATGAAACAAAGTTCACGAAAATATTATCTGTAAAAATATCTCGAGACAAAGTAAATCTATCAAAATATATCCTATCATCTCTGGTCAGAAAAAAATGCTAATATATTGTTTACTGCCATCTTGAATTTGAATTTGTATTTGTATATATGTTTACAATATAAGCTCTTGTACCACCAAGGTGGTTTATGGGAGTAAAGAATTCAATTGTATAGCATTACTCGGATCCTTACATCTAGATTTAGACATGATTTAGATCATGGCTATTCCAATTTATGAAGTTTTCGAAGAGTTATACTTATTAAATGGAAGCTATTTTGTTTCAAGTACAATGCTGTTTTGTTCTTTCTCGGTCAGAACCTGGCACATTGTTGATTTGCGACACGTTCCTGCAGCATAGTGATGCCAAGGTCACGGTCACCTGAATGCGGAATGTTAACCGTACAGCTGCACTTTTGTGAAACATTATGCTGCTTGAAAAGTAAATAATCTAAATACCTCCTGGTTTGTTTTGTACAACAGTTTTACACATTTGTCTTCTAATATATCGCGGAGCCATAATGGTAATACTGACATAATGGATATTTAGGGATGATGGCATTTCGATTTAACACTCAGTTATATTACTAGACCAACAGTTTTGTGTGGTACTAATAATGTAAACAGGTACAGCACTGATCTGGTCACTCATATATTTGTAATACATGCCCCAGATAGGACACCTCTACCGACTGTATAGGAATTCTGGCATGGTATTGTGAACATGCACAAGAGGTAACACAAAAACAAAACAAATAACACATCCATCATTATCTATTGAGCTATTAAATGTGATGAAGTTTCTAGAATGATGATGCTTCCCTCCATGATGGAGATATCGCAGTGTGACTCAAGGACCTCAAGCATCACGAAGACATATCTGAAGATTCCTACGTCCTGTCAGTTATTGTTGAGAGATAACCTTGTATAGAACAGTTTCAGATCTGGACTTAGATATCTTGTGTGTTGTTTAACGCCGCACTCAGCATGATTCCAGCTATATGGCTTTGGTACCTGGACGAACGCATGTTAGTTGTCAGTCTAATATGGTACGAACCTTAACCAGATTGAGTTTGAACTTGAAAACATTATATCAATAAATGTAAGACAATATGTTTTACCAGACAGCTTGATGTATATCAAAAGTTTAGACTCACTTAAAGCACTCATTATATGTTATGTGTATATTTACGGTTACATCGAAGATGAATTTCTCCACTAACTTTGGGGAACCAACTGCAAACTTTATGCAGATCAATTGCACGAGGATCATGCATTAAATTGCTAAAAATCATGTGCAAATATCGTGCATGTGAACAGCTGTGTTGTGGTTAAACGTTTGTTAAAAAAATAATTCGCCATTTTCTCAGTTTCATCATTTTTTTTAACCCATGACAATAATCTTTTCAACGTTACGAATTTGTTTTACAATACATCAGTTCATGTGTAAACAGTACCTTTAAACAGTATGGACAATTTTGCAAAATCTAGTTTAGAAGAGTTGACTTAAGTACGTGGCTACATTTACACTAATGAGTCTAAACTTTTGATGGGGAGTATATAATCACAAGTGAGACTGACTGACTGACTGAGTTTGGTTTTACGCCGCTTTTAGCAATATTCCAGCAACATCACGGCGGGGGACACCAGAAATGGGCTTCACACATTGTACCCATGTGGGGATTCGAACCCGGGTCTTCGGCGTGACGAGCCAACGCTTTAACCACTAGGCTACCCCACCGCCCCTCACATGTGAGACTTAACACGTATTGTTTAATACTGCGATTGGCCAGTTATACTGCGGAGAAAACTGTACCTGGACGCCAGAGTTGCGTCACAAATTTGGGACATATTAGAGGTGTAAGAAGTTTTGCAACTGAAACATGGAAGAAAGCAGATATTTCAAGATTCGACACTACTAGCATTAAAGCAATACATGCTAAAGATGCGAAATGCATAATCGTGATTTTCAACTGTCCCCTTTTTTATTGCCAGCTGAATGAATCTCAATTATCAGATTCCACTGGGTGACAATTCCATTTATTGGTGGTGAAACTTATATGCGTGGGTCACAAAATCTGTCATGTCACCGGTTGTTTAAAATATTGATGAGCAGCAAATGTAATAAATGAATCAAATTCACTCAACTGATTGTTAGTTACTGATTGTTCGTAAGTGATCAATATTTGTGTCAATCACAGGGAAGGACAAATTAAACACAGGGAAAGGAAAAAAGGAAAGGAAACATTTTGGATATAGTTGCAGAACATTTTTGCATACTTTTAATTTTATTATTTTATTTCTAGTTTTGATTTTATTTTTTATTTTCAGATTTTGTTTCCTTTTTTTCATTTTCAGTACGTTAGGTATGTTGCTTCTTTGATATATGTGACATTGCATAGATTCAAATGTGGCAATGTAGCACATCCAGCATGAACCCGTTATTGTTTCGAGTCAAAAACGCTATTTAATCATCCCCATGGAATGTTTGAGTACAGCTCATATACGGATACAGGACAATGGTAAACTCTACAACCCCTTTCCTTTCTAGTACCAGTATCTCCTCGTCTGTAACACTTGGAATACGTTACACGGATACACACAATTCATTGTCAGTGTAGAGACAAGTGGAATCGGATGTTCTAGTGTTGTCGCGTGGCTTTCTTCTCAGTAACTGCTTAATATATCCACGTGGCTCTTCGGGGACGTGACGTGTTTTCTAACTTTGGCATGTATCTGTTGGATGGATCTTTTGTCATGTGAAGAAGGCTGCAGCCAAGCGACATAAAATGTTGTTCGAACCTCATCATGGTTGTATGTTGACGCAGTCAGTAAAGTGTACTGATAATACACCCAATTACATCAAGACTAGAGTATGCAACATATTTATGTTCTACAACACAAAACTACTTTTATGAATGACTTGCGAAATGAACGTGCGACTTTGGACAGGGACTGATACTGGGTTTGGACTGTCATATTTGCTATGGTACTAAAGTGTGTGTAACGTGTATCACTTTGGTTTCCCTCTAAGAGTGTGCCAGCGCCGCATGGTATATCTGAGACCCTTGTGAAAAACAATGTTATTATTGCTGTTATAATTATGATGATGACTATAAGTTTTAGCTTACCTGTAGTGGTAGTTGTAGCTGTGGTGGTGATGCTTGCCGTCGTCGTCGTAGTGGTGGTAGTAGTAATAGTAGTAGTAGTAGTAGTGGTGGTAGTAGTAGTAGTAGTGGTGGTAGTAGTAGTAGTGGTGGTAGTAGTAGTAGTAGTGGTGTAGTAGTAGTAGTAGTGGTGGTAGTAGTGGTAGTAGTAGTAGTAGTGGTAGTAGTAGTGAGTGTGTGGTGGTAGTAGTAGTAGTAGTGGTAGTAGTAGTGGCAGTGGTAGTAGTGGTGGTAGTAGTAGTAGTAGCAGTGAGTGGTGGTAGTAGTGGTGGTAGTGGTGGTGAGTAGTAATAGTGAGTAGTAGTGGTGAGTGGTAGTAGTAAGTAGTAGTGGTGGTAGTATTGGTAGTGATGGTAGTAGTAGTAGTGGTAGTAGTAGTGGTGGTGGTGGTAGTGTAGTAGTGGTAGTAGTAGTGGTAGTAGTGGGTAGTAGCAGGTGGTAGTAGTAGTAGTGGTAGTGGTGGTGGTGAGTGGTAGTGGTGAGTGTGAATTGGTGGGTAGTAGTGGTGGTGGTAGTGGCAGTAGTAGTGGTAGTAGTGAGTAGTGGTAGTAGCAGTGCAGTAGCAGAGTGGTGGCAGTGGTGAGTAGCAGTGGCAGTGGTAGTAGTAGTGGTAGTAGTAGTGGTAGTAGCAGTGGCAGTAGCAGTAGTGGTGGTGGTAGCAGCAGCAGTGGTAGTAGCAGCAGTGTAGCAGCAGCAGTGGTAGCAGTAGCAGTAGTAGCAGTAGTAGTAGTAGCAGCAGTAGTAGCAGTAGTGGTAGTAGTAGTGGCAGCAGCAGTAGTAGTAGCAGCAGTAGCAGTGCAGCAGTAGCAGCAGTAGCAGTGGTAGCAGTAGCAGCGGCAGTGGCAGTAGTAGTAGTGCAGTAGCAGGTGGTAGCAGTAGCAGTAGTAGTAGTAGCAGTAGCAGCAGTAGTAGCAGCAGCAGTAGCAGCAGTGGCAGCAGCAGCAGTAGCAGCAGTGGCAGCAGTAGCAGTGGCAGTAGCAGCAGCAGTAGCAGCAGCAGTGGCAGCAGTAGTAGCAGTAGTAGTAGTAGTAGCAGTAGTAGTAGTAGTAGTAGTGGTAGTAGTAGTAGTAGTAGCAGTAGTAGTAGTAGTAGTAGTGGCAGTAGTAGTAGTAGTAGTGGTAGTAGTAGTAGTAGTAGCAGTAGTAGTAGTAGTAGTAGTAGTAGTAGTAGTGGTAGTAGTAGTAGCAGTAGTAGTAGCAGTAGTGGTAGTAGTAGTAGTAGTGGTGGTGGTGGTGGTGGTGGTGGTGTTGGTGGTGGTAGATGTACTTGTAGGCATTGACCTGTTTTGTTGGGTCAACCCAGGCTTCAACACATTACTTGGTATTTTGATCCCAATACACTTTGGGTTTCATTTTCACTTGACACATGACAGTTCTAGGAAACTAGGAAGTGCGTGTTCACTAGAGATCACACTCAACACATCATGTAAATTATCCATCTAGGCTGGGCTTTCAACGCAAACACCATGGCACATTGTGGCTTTACGTGGAGCTGAAGCAGAATATCATACAGACAGGATGACGAACTGGTTGGATGGGGTGGTGGTGTGTTATATACTGATCGGCTGGATTCATCAAACAACAGGTGAATTGCTTTATTACATTAACTGCTGTGTGTTTGCATTTTTGTAAACTCTTGAAGACTTTACTTGTACTAGATTAACAAGTAACTCAGATGACATGTCTCAAAAGTTATTGAATTAATATTAGTGAGTCATTCTATGCAAATGTCTCAAACAATTAATGGATTTACATGATTTTGGTTAAAGGGGGTCGTTTACCTGTTTTTATATCACAGTTTTTAACAGACCGGCAATTTCAAGTCCGAGTGGGTTCGACCTTGTCTGACCATTATAAGCAGAATCAGGGTGTCCGATGAGGCAGTATTGTGTATGTCACTTTATCTAGTATCAAGATCAACAGTTTATCCAAGGTTTTAAATGATTCAATCGATGGATCACTTTTTGTGGATTATTTTACTATTCCTTGTCGCCGTAAAAATATGCATGCTATTGAACGGCAACTGCAGTTATGTTTAAACAAATTAGATAAATGGTGTCTTGTAACCGGCTTTACATTTTCTAAGTAAAAAAATAATTCTATACACCCCTGTAGAATATATAAGCCGCATAAGGACGCAGAACTATTTTTAGATGGCATTCCCATCAAATTTGTCAAGGAGGCCAAGTTCTTGGGTCTAATTTTCAACTTCAATTTAACTTTTCTTTCACATATCAAATCCCTAAAAAATAAATACCTGAAAGCACTTGATCTATTGAAAGTCGTTTCTATTTCAAAGTGGGTATGGGCTCAAGCTTCCATCCTACATCTATATAGATCACTGGTCCGCTCGAAACTTGATCATGGTTTTATCGCATATAGTGGAGCCTGCTAAAGCAACCTAAAACTATTAGATTATGTCCACCACCAAGGTCTAAGACTTTGTCGTGTGTCCTTCAGAACTTCTCCTTTTGACAAATCCTGCATTTAACTGTGTTTTTAATTCTCTTTATGAGGATCTATACAACGAGAAGTCTTCTCTTGTTCCGCCTCTTGGTCTAAGAATTAAACCATTCCTTTCTGCTGCCGGCCTTGAGCTGGAAAATATATCCTCTTCTCAACTTCTTTCTTCTCCTCCTTGGCAATTGGTGAGGCCACACGAGGGCCTAACATTAACCACATTTAAACAATTGGAATCTTATGGATTAAAATAAACAAGAATTTAATCAATTAAAAACTAAATATAATATATACACATCCTTATGTACAAATGGGTCCAAGGATGGTGGCGCAGTTGCTTGTGCCACTGTCATTGGGTCCAGGAAATATCATCTAGATTACCAGATGACAGTCCCATATTCACAGCATAAGCAAACGCAATACTAACAGCTCTTAAATATATTAATAGATACCCTAAATATTAACAATATATCGTATTTTCAGACTCTCTATCTTGCCTTCAGGCTATGAAATATCTTTCCCGTAAACACCCACTTTTAATCGAAATAATTGACTTATATAATAATCTTGCTACTGGCCAATACGACATCGTATCTGTTGGGTACCAAGCCATGTTGGCATTTCTGGTAACACAATGGCCGATTTTGCTGGCAGCACTCAACAAGTCTGTGATACCACTTCTCGTTCCATACACTGATTACGTGATCTAATGCAAAAGAAGTAGGACACCCAAGTAGGTAACAATAACTTTGGTTGTCAGTCCAGAATTATGTGACGATGTTGCTTTGGCCATGCAAAATATACTCATGAGGATCCTCCGTTTTGCATCCGTTGTGATGAAAGAATGTCCTGCTTGACTGTATTGATTTTTTCCATTACAAGGGATAAATATTTTAATGTCAAAACAGTTAAGGACCGTTTTACTAATGTTAATTATCATTTGACCTTTTTTAAAGAAATAGAGTTCTTAGATAAATTTTTAATACAATTGTGCAAATAGTGAAATGCTTTATGATTAGTAGTTTAAATTAACACCTGATATTGTTAGTGGCTGTATCCTCGAAGGGAGTTAAAGTGCTGTAATATTATTGTCCTCCTGAGAGGGCACGTAGGTCTCACAACAATTATAGTAAATTTAAACGTACTCCTATTTTAACTGCAGCATTTATGTTATTTGAATTTATGGCTAGATTGTGAAACATTGCTAACATCTGAAGGGATGGTGTAAACACATCAAGGGTCCATGCAGGAAACAAATGTTCTGTAAGTCCCCATGGTCCCTAGTATGGTGATCTACCTTCAGTTGTTAGCAATGTATAGCTTGTTTCTATATTGTATTGTCAGTTATAATTGAAGTTTTTTAGATTTAATTACTAGTTTTTAATTCATATCGGTGATAATCTAGTTGTTTTACGTCCTTACAAGTTTTTTAAAATTTACTTTCAATTACTATAAATATAAAATTATATTTAGTCACGATATGGCAGAAATATTGATGTGACTTAAATTCTTAACTCACTCACATACTTAAACCATTAGCATTTAAGTATGTTTCAAGCCTGCACTATCGGATTTGGTCAACCATAATGATATGTTTCAATCACCATCAAAGCAGAACAATTCCTAAACTATTTGAAACCACATTTACATGTTGACTGTAAAATGGATGAACTGGGTGACTTTTCCTTGAAATCAGCAAACCTATGTTGAAATCCAAAATCAATGTGCACCCGAGTTTCAGCGTCAATGTTTCTTTACACGTGTAGTTGACACGATATACGACGTTACCTTTCACGAGTGGTAGTTTAGATGAAAGCCTAAAGTCTAAAGCGGTGGGTCAGATAAACGCATTTGAGTGACGTTAATAGGTCTGTGATTAACACATTTTGAGGTTCACACGTTTTGTGAGACTTTATGAAATGACGTAAACGCTGTCAGACTACGACCACATTCCTGGGAAATCAATTCCCTGGCACTGATCCACAGCGAAGTACTTTTTGTGATCACTTGCATTCTTTAGCCATAAAAGGCAAGTTTTAGTACACATAGGGATAAGTCATGGAGCTTAATTGTATGCTCGTTAAAGAAAATCCCCCCCTTTGACAGATTCTAGTGAACGAAAGGAAGAAATGCACATCCAAACTATGGACTATGAACAGCAACCTGTGAATGTTTCTTTGTACCAATTTGACACATTTTTAGAATTATCTTTCGGTGATCGGCCAAGTGAAAATGATGCCTAACACTTATAATCGTCCATCGTCCACCGTTCAGACCTTGGAAATCTCTCCCGTCACGTCACGTCCCGTCGTGTCGGTCATTTTGACGTCGTGTATTTAATGTATCACCAATGCATCACAACGCGTCAAACTGTCACGGTGAATGATCGACCCACTGAAGTAGTTCGTAATATTTTAATATCTCATCTATCGATGTTATTCTTTGTATCTCTTTGCTGTAACCAAAATACAAAATATATTCCAGTTGTACACGTTGTGAATACCTACGGTTATGGTACATCTTCATTTGCTGAACTATTTTATGCCGCGTTACGTTAAAGCGTTGTTTGGGTGTTTATGTAACATTAACGTGCTATATGAAGTGGTGTAATACATCCCTCAAGGTAACAATAGTGGTATAACATTGACAAGAACTTGTGCAAATTCACTGGAGTGTGAACTGTCATAGAGTGAGGGCTCAGCATTGTACGTGTATGAAAGTCGTCACAAGCTACAACGTGAAATCTCACAGAGTTGTTGTTAATCTTCATCATGTTTTGACCCGCTGAATTAATTTGGAATGCAGAATACTGTACTCACAGTCTACCATTGACAGCCAGGTGGCGTATAAGGGGCGGTAGGGTAGCCTAGTGGTTAAATAGTTTTTTCGTCATTTTGGGTTCGATTCTTCTTATTGGGTACTATGTGTTAAGCCAATTTTCTGGTTTTGATATTGTTGGGATATTGCTAAAAGCGGCTAAAATTCGACCTTGATGTGAAGGGAGGTGATGTTTTTTCATCATCACTTTGACGATTACTGTACTTTTAACAACGAACAAAGTGAGACTGATCTGGGTGCGACACATTTCAGTTAAATGAAGTTAATAAGTTTATGAGTCATTCAAAAGTATCCTACCTTGTATCCCACGTCTTATGCTGGCCAGCTGAGATGTCGCAGTTTAACACGGATAGCAAGCACAGGCATTCAACTATCAGAGAATCTGATCCGAGGTGCCCTTGCAACATCACCACCATCAAGTCAATCGCATGGGAGAGATTGTTTAACTTGTTTTGATATTGCTTGTTTTGGGGGCTATTATGTTTTTTTGCATATCGGATCATTAAACCTTCACTATGAGAGCAGATGTTCAGTGATATCACACAACATCTCCTTTATATTACGACAATACGTCCATTGCTCTATGTCAATATTACTCCCTATGATGCCAACATATATTTTGCTTCAGGTTGTGGTGGAACCTACCGGGGATACTCAGGAACAATCAGATCCCCCAATTACCCTTACACATATTCCAATCATCTCTCCTGCACATATGTTATTACCCCCAGAAAGCTGATCCAGCTTAAGTTTGAAACGTTCGCTACAGAAGGTGGCTATGACTACGTAAAGGTAAGCATATCTTATTGTGTTGCCATTGTCAATACAGCTGTACATGACACACTCATTCAGAGTTTAAACTTCGGGGGCGCCATGGCTATGGTGCAAGGTGTACAGAAACAGGTGTGTGTGCGAGACCTGTGGACATTGATGGTCATGTTAGTAACTCTGTCACGGTGATAAGAAGGGATAACACTGTAATCTGCAAAAATAGTATCGCAAGAACCCATATTGTCAATAGTATCAATCTGCTTCCCTTCATCATAGCAAAATTTACATTACTATCTGTATGAGTTGATTCTCAAAGAATAATTAAACTCCCCAAAAAGAATGAAAAACATGGCCAAAATTTTAATTATTTTGCTGACGTTTGCTGAATTATTGTCGCATGACGTTAACAAGTGCAGTCATTTCAAGGTTCTGGCATACAGACCTCCGTCATCATCATCATCATCATGCAAACATTTATGTAGCGCCAATTCCAGTCCAAAAGTACTGCTCAAGAATGAAAAGTTAGACACTGTATGTTTTCTTAAAAAGGTCTGTCTTCAGTTTAGACTTGAAAATCTTCAGGTTGTTAATTGTCCTTAACTCCAGTGGAAGTTGATTCCAGAGAGTGGGTCCTGCCACCTGAAATGATCGATCCCCAAACCTGGTACTGGACCTAAAGTGTGGGACAACAGGAAGACCAAGATTTTCAGATCGGAGACTTCGGTTGGGCTGATATCTGGCCATCAGGTCAGATAGATACTTTGGAACTAGGTCAATTGCAATAACACCCATGACCCTCATCGTGATTGCCTGTATCAGACGTTAGGTAGTGCGTTCCATTCATGGTGGAGGGTTTCTTCTAATGCATCAAGATTTTGTACTGGAAGATCCCCCTGGCGTATTTAACACACCACATGGCATGAACGGAGGAAGTGTTATGATTCATGAGTTGTCACTAGTGGTCGATATGGACGATGTTGGTCCTTAACGTCATTATAGTTTGCTGATGTTTTCTGACTAATATCTGGCAATAGCCATCAATAACTTGCCTTCTTTGAGCACTGCTATTTGGGCAGACCCCATATTTGCTTATCAACAACTAAATCAGTTTCGAGTTATTGAGCTGTAAGAACTGAAACTTCATGTCTACTTCATGACGGGTACACGTAATGAGCGTGATGCTCGCCTTTGATCTTGCATATATACGTGAGTCTGTTTATTAACGCTGCACTCGGCAATATTCAAGCTATATGGTGGCGGTCTGTAAATAATCGAGTCTGGACCAGAACATCTAGTGGTCAACATCATCAGCATCGTTCTACGCAATTGGGATACGATGACATGTGTCATCCAAGTCAGCAAGTCTCACCACCCTATCCCGTTCCTCGCCGCTTATGACAAGCAGGAGATGCTGAGGTCAATTCTAACCCTGATCTTCATGAGAAGCGTGCATATCTAATACCTAAAACAAATATATGGTGGACCCGAAATGAGTAGATAATCACACAAACACACATAGTTATAATGGGTATGTTGCTTTGCTGATCGTTCACAAGACAAAACATGTACTACATTACATGATGTGTGCCTTGCTGCGTATTGAATGTCCATTTGGTTCAGTTTTAGAAACACAAAATGGGACCACGGGGTAGCCTAGTGGTTAGAGCGTCGAGGAACCGGATTCGATTCCCAACACGGGAACAATGAACCCATTTCTAGTGTCCTCCGCCGTGATAAATACAAAAACAAAATAAACATTTAATATCTCGCATATGGGGTAGATATGTTTTCAGGGAATTTAGCACATATAGCTGAATATTCATGTCAGTACTGATTGTGAGCAAGGCATTTTCGTTTGTAGTTACGCAGACCTTTCATGTCATCTCCTACAAAAAAAAGGACAGAGTGCTTCCTGAGAGTATCGAGACTTCCATTCACTTTATTTGATTTCAGGTGTACAATGGCACGGGCAACCTGTTGGCATCTCTGTCAGGTTCCCATGGAGGGTACACGGTTCCTCCCTCCACCTACTATCGTATGACATTTACGACAGACGTGTCCATTGGGTCCTCCGGCTTCAGGGCGGTGTGGAGCTGTGCGTAACTTCCAGATACACTATAATTATGTCCACAATGTTACACGTTCATAGTATACATTCTATGGAACAGTGGAATTGTGGTGATAGATTCATCCTGCATAAAATGTCTGTTACGTCTATATCAGCACTTCCACTATGACGGCTGGGTAGCCCATTGGGTCAAGACCTCGCTCGTCTCTGTGAACGGCAGGGTTGGAATCCTTAAATAAGTGTAATGTGCAAAACATATTTCTGGTATTGTAGAGCGTGAATTTGGATAAAACTATACGATAGAACTTATTCCAATATGTGCAGGATGTTAGGATGTTGATATATTTTCTCTGTGTGTTGTAGGAGTGTCCTTACCAGAGAACTGATTGCTGACATATGCATACCATTATGTTACCATTGAAATGTATATGCAAAAGACCAAAAGCTTTGAAATGTCAACAAACAATTTGCTACATTTTATTCGAGTCTTGCTGTTCACTGCCGGATGAGGGTTCATGTGGTAATTGGACGAAATTGTATATTTGTACAATATCTGACCGAACACACGCAATTAAATGAGATTACAACAGTACAAAAGAGGCTACCCATTGTTATGACTATCAACGCCTAGCACATGCCTCCACAAACTGTTTGCTTTTTCATAGTCTCTAATCTCATCACATCTATTCTCACAGCTGCTCCTACGATATCTGGCTTGCCAACAACATACCGAGTAAATGAGTCAGGTAGATTGAGACTGGACTGTAGTTCCTATACTCAATCATCTACAGCACTTACCTACAACTGGACGTACAAAGGTTCCACTGTCAGCTCGGGGGCTGTACTGAACATTGGCAGCATCGACAAGAATCAAGCTGGACAATACACATGCACTGCCACCAACTCAGTTGGACCTGTGTCCGCAGCGGTCCACGTCGTAGTACAATGTGAGTGGCAGTATGATGAAACAGGCATTAACGTGTATAATAATGTCTATTTGTTTGTTAACGAAGCGGACATAAATGGTAACTAGGTTGTGAAAGAGTTTAGATAGGAAGAAAGGGGCTTAATGGAAGAGTTCCGACAATTCATATTTTGTTTGTTTGTTTTTTAACGCCTCACTCAGCAATATTCCAGCCATATGGGAGCGGTCTGTAATTAATCGACTCTTGACCAGACTGAGCATTGATCTACGTAACTGGGATACGATGATTAACCAATACAGCGAGCACGACCATCTGATCTCGTTAGTAGCCTCAAGCATGTGTTGCTAGAGAACAGCTCTAACCCGGATCTTCACGGGTCTATACAAATGATTACAGAAACGTGAATTTTCGCTTGACATCCCCAACATGCAAGTGCTGAGGTTTGTACATATAAATCGCTGATAATACCATGAGAGTCTTCATGTGTACACCTTCTGTAGGCACAAACTAACCATGTGTATTGCATGGTATACTTTTTGTTATGTGAAAACGTACAAGTCATGTATCTTTGGTATCAGTGTTGTACTAGGCAAAAACGTTTCATACTCATGAAATGATTTATTGACCGTTCATTGTTCTAGATTCACCACGAATATCTGGACTCCCATCCACCTTCCAAGTGACAGAGTTAGCTACTTTAAGACTGGACTGTAGTACGTATACAACACAGGGCAACCCATCAGCAACAAGCTACACGTGGTCACACGGAGGGTCAACGGTCAGTACAGGAGCTGTATTGACAAGAAGCAGCATCAGTAGGAGACAGGGACGGGCGTACACCTGTACTGTCAGTAACACAGTAGGATCAAACACCGCCTCGGTCAACGTTGACGTAAGATGTAAGGAACATTGTTTACTATTTATTAGAAATGGCAATGGCACTGTGACAGTTTTTAAGCGTATTCCCTGTGGCGTATGAATTCCTTCACCACGATGTATATAGAATGTCCCTGCTCGACACAGCATTAATTTATGCGTAGTTGTTTAAGATCAATTCTATAAAAACAACCAAACACTGGTATTGTCGTATTTCTCGAAAATATGTTCCCTATTTAGAGGAAGGGGTGGTGAATTCCGTTATGGTAAAGGATCGAATGCATTTGAAAGCCTAGAACATCTTTGTATCCATACATATGAATGGCTTATGATCAGTGTTGTTGACTCTACAATGTTGCAGATTCGCCACAAATATCTGGTCTTCCATCCACCTTCCAAGTGACTGAGTCAACTAGTTTAAGACTGGACTGTAGTAAACACACACAACAGGGCAACCCATCAGCAACAAGCTACAAGTGGTCACACGGAGGGTCAACTGTCAGTACAGGAGCTGTATTGACAAGAAGCAGCATCAGTAGGAGACAGGGAGGGGAGTACACCTGTACTGTCAGTAACACAGTAGGATCAGCTTCCGCTTTGGTCAACATTGACGTAACATGTAAGGAAAATTGTTTAGTTTTTAAAAGAAAGAGCAAAACCACCGTGACAAGTTTAAAGCGTAAACGCTATCGAACCTGAGTACCCTACACCATGGTGTAAAATGCTCGTGTTTTGCACAGCATTATTTATAAGAACTTTCTAAGTTATAATCATTAAAGCAAGGAAACAATGGTTAAGTCGTATTTGCATCACTAAAGAGATGACTTTATTTAGTAGAAGGGGTAGTGAATGCAGTTATGGTAAGTACCGAATGCATTTAAATGTCAGGAACATCATTGCATCCATAAATATAATGCTAGTGTGTGGAACAGAATAGCAATCCCACCGACTCCTTCGCCTGGATGAAGTGAGGGCCTCCATTTTGCTGCCCAAGACCAGTCGCTTCCCACTCGCAATCGCCAGAATGTGATTCTTAAACAAAATATCAACATAAAATGTCGACTATGTAATGAATTTACAGAGACTGTCCAACACCTTGTCAGTGGATGCCCTTCCTTGGCACAAACAGCATATCTTAAAAGACATGATGGCATGGCGTGTTGCTTTTACTACCTCCGCCATGCCTGTGGCTTTGACTCCATCCATGGTACGACACTGAACATATCTGGAGCGTTATGGAAAATGATTCTTTCAAACTTCTATGTAATAGGCCCATATACAGGCTGAGGAGAATTCCAGCCAACAAACCTGATCTTGTCTTTTATTATATAGTCAGTGAATTTATTTATACCACTGAATTTTCTGTCCCTTTTGACAGCAACGTGATTGGCAAGATTGGCTTGCTAAATATGCGGACCTGGCCTTTGAAATGGTTCGTTTGCATCCCAAGTACACTTTCGTCAGGCTGCCCATTGTTCTCGGTGCCCTAGGTTTGATACCTCCTGATCGCTTGCGGTTCTCCACCGGGTGCACATCCCTTCTGACACTCTGGGTAATGCAGAAGGCTGCAGTGTTGGGGAGTCGACATATTCCCCGGAAAGTTCTTGGTGTGTTCGACTTGGAAGCGTTTCCTGGGAGACGTCCAATTAGCTGTCTGGACTGCGTGTAGAGGGGGCAAGGCCCCTGAGCTGATGATGAGCTTTACCAGCCTGACTGTGCCAGGATCACCCGAACCCTCTCTGCTGCATATTATCTTTAATCTGTAAAAAGTAATAGTAATGGCACTTATATTGCTCGATATCCAAGCCACGAAGGTATGCTCAAAGCGCATTGCCACAAACGATGGTAACAGAGGCAGTTGAGTTCTTCACAATGGTATGAGTTTTAGGGGTTTTCTTTTTCGGTATAGTGCTTCAGAAGGTGGGTTGTAAGACTGGATTTATAGTTTCTAGAGATGTAGAGAGTTCCACAGTGTAGCGGCTGAGACAGAGAAGAATATGGAGCCAAATGTTTTACGTTTGGTGACAAGCACCCGAAGGAGCTGTCGTTGACTAGAGCGCAGAGTTCTTGAAGGAAAGTATGGGACAGTCAGATCACTCAGATAGGCATCTCATTCACAAGGGCAGCTTGGTAAGTGAGCGAGAGTATTTTGAATATGATTCGCTCAGGAATGCGGAGCCAGTGAAGCAAGTTGAGCACTGGTGTGATGTGATCCTTTATGATCATCCGCGTGACCAGTCTGGCAGCATAGTTCTGGATGTCTTGCAGACGGCTCATCTGTTGACTGGTGATTCCATTGAGCAAATGTTGCAATAGTAGAATCGAGAGAATATCAGAGATCTCACAAGGAAGGCAGCTGCGTCTCTCGTCAGCAAATGTCTGATGGCACTGGTGTTCCTCAGGTGGTAATCAAGTGACTCACGTGATCTTCCGTGGGTAGCGAGGAGTCAAGGTACACATCGAGGTTCTTGACAGATGACTTGACGGTGATGTCTGCTGACCCAATAGACAAATGATCCAAAGAACATTTCCGCAATCTGGATCGAGGTCCGAACAGAATCACCTCCGTTTTGTCTGAATTGAGTTTTAGCTTGTTCTTTTCCATCCATGTACTGACATCAGCAATGCACTGTTCCATTTCATGATGACGGGTGTTGGCTTAAAGGTGTCCTGTACTTGCGAGTCACCTGCATAGAAGTGATGAGGTATCTGATGTTCTTCAATACACTGACCCATAAATATAAATTGATCAGGATCTTTGTTGTTGATTATCTAATGACGATTAGCTAATGATCCAGATTCGCCACAAATATCTGGACTCCCATCTTCCTACCAAGTGACTGAGTCAACTAGTTTAAGACTGGACTGTAGTACCTATACAACACGGGGCAACCCATCAGCAACAAACTACACTTGGTTACACGGAGGGTCAACTGTCAGTACAGGAGCTGTACTGACAAGAAGCAGCATCAGTAGGAGACAGGGAGGAGCGTACACCTGTACTGTCAGAAACACAGTAGGATCAGACTCTGCCTCGGTCAACGTTGACGTAACATGTAAGGAATTTTGCTTAATGCTTATAATGTAAAGCTGATAAAGAGATGACAGGTCCAAACCTTCCAGGTGATTATGCAATCTGGTCTATGTAATCATCATCATTGTGAACAACGCTCTTGCTTTTCTTTAGATAAATTTGTGAGCAATTTCTCAATTAGCATCAGTCGTATATACTAAGTGTAACATGACTTTACAGTGAAGCAGATAACAACCTTACAGTCTTTTGAGCATTTGAAACCTGTTGATTTGTAAACTCACTTATGATTGCAAAGGCTCATTAATTTGTTAGCGGAAACATTTGTCATTGTCGTTTTACACAGATCCAGGTTCTGTTGCTGTATCAACTGTTTTGTGCACATCGCGTACATCAAATGAAAAACAAGGCTGTTTCGCCAAAGCAATCGTGAAAATATGCTCACTTTTTAGAGACGTCAGTGAATTAGTAACTTACAATTTGGCGTGGCATCGGCATTATCTCAGCCATAAGGCGACGCAAACATCATTTGATAAGTCAGAAGTCAATTACGTAGTGGTCATGCATCTGGGACAATTTTGCATCCATAAATATAAATAGTACTCGAGCAGTGCTGTCGATTTGACTACCTTTCAGATTCACCACGAATATTTGGTCTTTCATCCACATACAAAGTGACAGAGTCAGCTACTTTAAGACTGGACTGTAGTACATATACAACACGGGGCAACCCATCAGCAACAAACTACACGTGGTCACATGGAGGGTCAACTGTCAGTACAGGAGCTGTATTGACAAGAAACAGCATCAGTAGGAGACAGGAAGGGGAGTACATCTGTACTGTCAGAAACACAGAAGGATCAGACTCCGCCTCGGTCAGCATTGACGTAAGATGTAAGGAAATTGTTAAATCTTTACTCGGCGTGGAGGTTTAAAGCGGAAATACAGTCTCGTCTGTTAACCTCCACCACGATGTAAAATGGTCCTTTGCACAGCAAGTAATTTATGTGTAATTTCTAAATCTAGTCCATGAAAGCGACCAAACACTAGTAAAGTCGTATCTGCTCCCATGAAAATATGTTCCCTGTAGAGAAGAAAGGGTAATGAATACCGTGATGGTAACTATGGAGTGCATTTGCAAAACAGGAACATCTTTGCAATCATAAATCTGAAAGGTTTATGACCAGTGTTGTTGACTCTACAACGTTGCAGATTCACCACAAATATCTGGACTCCCATCCACCTTCCAAGTGACTGAGTCAACTAGTTTAAGACTGGACTGTAGCAAACACACACTACAGGGCAACCCATCAGCAACAAACTACACGTGGTCACACGGAGGGTCAACTGTCAGTACAGGAGCTGTACTGACAAGAAGCAGCATCAGTAGGAGACAGGGAGGGGAGTACACCTGTACTGTCAGAAACACAGTAGGATCAGACTCCGCCTTGGTCAACATTGACGTAACATGTAAGGAACATTGTTTAGTGTTCACAGGAAAGAACAAAATCAGTGACAAGTTTAAAGCGTAAACATTATCACGTCGGAATACCCTATACCTTGGTGTCAAATGTTCGTGCTTTGCACAGCATTAATTCATAAGTAATTCCTAAATTATGGTAATTAAAGCAAGGCAACAATGGTAAAGTCCTATTTGCATATCTGAAGAGATGTCCCCTATTTAGATCAAGGGGTATGGAATTCTGCTATGGTAAAGACCGAATGCATTTAAACAACTGGAACATCATTGCATCCATAAATATGCCTGGATCACGATCTTTTTTGTTGATTATCTAATGATGCAGATTCGCCACAAATATCGGGTCTTCCATCCACCGTCCAAGTGACTGAGTCAACTAGTTTAAGACTGGACTGTAGTAAACACACACAACAGGGCAACCCATCAGCAACAAACTACACGTGGTCACACGGAAGGCCAACTGTCAGTACAGGAGCTGTATTGACAAGAAGCAGCATCAGTAGGAGACAGGGAGGGGAGTACACCTGTACTGTCAGAAACACAGTAGGGTCAGACTCTGCTTTGGTCAGCGTTGACGTAAGATGTAAGGATCTTTGTTTAATTTTCACGAGATATGGTAGAAAAAATGATGACAGGCCCAGTCTTATATATTTTGAGCAATCTGATCTTCGAAATCAGCACAATTGTGAGCAGCACTCTTGCTTTTTCCTAAGAAACAATAATGAGCAATTTTAACAATTAGCATCAGTTTTAATATATTTTGAATCGGACTTTTAAACAAGTAACAACCTTACAATAGTTGAGCATTTTGAAAACCGGTTGATTTGTAAACTCATCTATGATTGCAAAAGCATAACAGATGTAAGCTGAAACTTTAATCTTTGTCGTTTTACACTGACCCAGGTGCCGTTGCTCTGTGAACTGTTTTTGTGCACATCCTAAATAAGTAAATCAAGTGAAAAACAAGGTCATTTCACAAACGCAGTTGTAAACATATTTTTATTTTTTCGAGAAGTGAATGAGTCAGTAACTTACAATTTTCCGTGGCATCGGCATTTTCTCAGTAATGTGGCGACGCAAACACCATTTGATCAATCATAGGTCATTTAAGTAATGATTATGACTCATGCATCTGGAACAATTTAGCATCCATAAATATAAATGGTGCTCGAGCAGTGCTATCGATTTGACTACGTTTCAGATCCACCACGAATATCTGGACTCCCATCCACCTTCCAAGTGACAGAGTTAGCTACTTTAAGACTGGACTGTAGAACATATACAACACGGGGCAACCCATCAGCAACAAACTACACTTGGTCACATGGAGGGTCAACTGTCAGTACAGGAGCTGTATTGACAAGAAACAGCATCAGTAGGAGACAGGGACGGGAGTACACCTGTATTGTCAGTAACACAGTAGGAACCGACTCCGCCTCGGTAAACGTTGACGTAAGATGTAAGGAAAATTCTTTACTCGGCACCGACACCACCCAGACACATTATACTGACTCCGAGCCGACCAGTCCTTGTTGTACCCATTAATGCCGAGCGCCAGGCAGGGACCAACAAGTACCATATTTACCGTCTTTTGGTATGACGCGGTCTGGTCCTAAGGGTAGTGAATACTGTTTTGTTAACGATCGAATGCATTTGCAAAAGTGGAACATCTTTGCATCCATAAATATCAATGGTTTATAACCAGTGTTGTTGATTCTGTAATGTTGCAGATTCGCCACAAATATCTGGACTCCCATCCACCTTCCAAGTGACTGAGTCAACTAGTTTAAGACTGGACTGTAGCAAACACACACTACAGGGCAAGCCATCAGCAACCAAGTACACGTGGTCACACGGAGGGTCAACTGTCAGTACAGGAGCTGTACTGACAAGAAGCAGCATCAGTAGAAGACAGGGAGGGGAGTACACCTGTACTGTCAGAAACACAGTAGGATCAGACTCCGCCTTGGTCAACATTGACGTAACATGTAAGGAACATTGTTTATTGTTCACAGTAAAGAACAAAATCAGTGACAAGTTTAAAGCGTAAACGTTATCACGTCGGAATACCCTATACCTTGGTGTCAGATGTTCGTGCTTTGCACAGCATTAATTCATAAGTAATTCCTAAATTATGGTAATTAAAGCAAGGCAACAATGGTAAAGTCCTATTTGCATATCTGAAGAGATGTCCCCTATTTAGAACAAGGGGTATGGAATTCTGCTATGGTAAAGACCGAATGCATTTAAACATCTGGAACTACATTGCATCCATAAATATGCATGGATCACGATCTTTTTTGTTGATTATCTAATGATGCAGATTCGCCACAAATATCGGGTCTTCCATCCACCGTCCAAGTGACTGAGTCAACTAGTTTAAGACTGGACTGTAGTAAACACACACAACAGGGCAACCCATCAGCAACAAACTACACGTGGTCACACGGAAGGTCAACTGTCAGTACAGGAGCTGTATTGACAAGAAGCAGCATCAGTAGAAGACAGGGAGGGGAGTACACCTGTACTGTCAGAAACACAGTAGGAACAGACTCCGCCTCGGTAAACGTTGACGTAAGATGTAAGGATCTTTGTTTAATTTTCACGAGATATGGTAGAAAAAATGATGACAGGCCCAGTCTTATATATTTTGAGCAATCTGATCTTCGAAATCAGCACAATTGTGAGCAGCACTCTTGCTTTTTCCTAAGAAACAATAATGAGCAATTTTAACAATTAGCATCAGTTTTAATATATTTTGAATCGGACTTTTAAACAAGTAACAACCTTACAATAATTGAGCATTTGAAAACCGGTTGATTTGTAAACTCATCTATGATTGCAAAAGCATAACAGATGTAAGCTGAAACTTTAATCTTTGTCGTTTTACACTGACCCAGGTGCCGTTGCTCTGTGAACTGTTTTTGTGCACATCCTAAATAAGTAAATCAAGTGAAAAACAAGGTCAATTTCACAAACGCAGTTGTAAACATATTTTTATTTTTTCGAGAAGTGAATGAGTCAGTCACTTACAATTTTCCGTGGCATCGGCATTATCTCAGTAATGTGGCGACGCAAACACCATTTGATCAATCATAGGTCATTTAAGTAATGATTATGACTCATGCATCTGGAACAATTTAGCATCCATAAATATAAATGGTGCTCGAGCAGTGCTATCGATTTGACTACGTTTCAGATCCACCACGAATATCTGGACTCCCATCCACCTTCCAAGTGACAGAGTTAGCTACTTTAAGACTGGACTGTAGAGCATATACAACACGGGGCAACCCATCAGCAACAAACTACACTTGGTCACATGGAGGGTCAACTGTCAGTACAGGAGCTGTATTGACAAGAAACAGCATCAGTAGGAGACAGGGAGGGGAGTACACCTGTATTGTCAGTAACACAGTAGGAACCGACTCCGCCTCGGTAAACGTTGACGTAAGATGTAAGGAAAATTCTTTACTCGGCACCGGCACCACCCAGACACATTATACTGACTCCGAGCCGACCAGTCCTTGTTGTACCCATTAATGCCGAGCGCCAGGCAGGGACCAACAAGTACCATATTTACCGTCTTTTGGTATGACGCGGTCTGGTCCTAAGGGTAGTGAATACTGTTTTGTTAACGATCGAATGCATTTGCAAAAGTGGAACATCTTTGCATCCATAAATATCAATGGTTTATGAACAGTGTTGTTGATTCCGTAATGTTGCAGATTCGCCACAAATATCTGGACTCCAATCCACCTTCCAAGTGACTGAGTCAGCTAGTTTAAGACTGGACTGTAGCAAACACACACAACAGGGCAACCCATCAGCAACCAAGTACACGTGGTCACATGGAGGGTCAACTGTCAGTACAGGAGCTGTACTGACAAGAAGCAGCATCAGTAGAAGACAGGGAGGGGAGTACACCTGTACTGTTCGAAACACAGTAGGATCAGACTCCGCCTCGGCTAGTGTAGATGTCCAATGTATGAATTTTTATAATTTTCTTGCTTTGCAATATTATTTCCGCTGTGTATCATGACGCCAATTGTATTGAGGTTATCACCATTAAGCGATGAAAAACTAAGCTATGTCTGTGCATGTTAAGTGTTTTTGTTATATACATCTTGTACAATAAATCCATAGTTTTAGACCTAAGGAGAAACACTGCATGCAACCACTCATCACTATGTACATACAGTGTTACTGCTGGAAGAATAAGACTATCTGAATGTATTGTTTCATATACAGATCCACCTGTACTCTCTGGTGTTCCATCTGATTACCGAGTGACTGAACATTCCAAGTTGTTTATTGATTGTACGAGTTACACGTCCCTGGGCAACCCGTCAACAACTAACTACACATGGAGCTATGGGACATCAGCTATTAGTACTACGGCTGTGCTACAACTCTACAACATCAACCGTTCTGCCGACGGAGAGTACACCTGCACTGTCAGCAATGCTGTTGGGAATGAGTCCGCCTCTGTTACAGTCGATGTTCAATGTGGGTAGTACTATACTCTCTCTTCACTAAATTATCTGTCTAAAATTCATCTAATAACGACCAACATGTCATCGGTTTCATGGATGCTTAGATGCCTCACCACAGAGCGTGTAATATGATGTGAGACAAATGATGAGGCTTCCGTTTCATACACTATGTACGTACCAGTGCAGATCCGGGTTAGAATTTGTCTTCGGTAACCCATGCTTGTCGTAAGAGGCGACTAACTGGATTGGGCTCGCTAATTTGGTTGACACATGTCATCTCATCCCAAAATTAGGTAGATCGATGACTACGTATTCCTTTTTGTTACAGATTCACCAGTAATATCAGCCTTTCCCTCAACGTACCGAGTGAATACGTCATCCAGACTGTGGCTGGATTGTAGCAGTTATACAACCGATGGCAACCCTGCTGTTACTAACTACTCCTGGGTATTTCTAGGGTCACGTGTCAGCTCTGAAGCGGTACTGAGTATAGATACAGTAAACAGGACCCACCAAGGAAGGTACACGTGTACTGCCAGCAACACACTTTCACCAAGTGGAGGCTCTCAACAACAGGGAACAGCATCAGCACAGGTCGACGTGGACGTACAGTGTGAGTATCATTTCTTGCATCATATATGGAATGGTTGAAGCAAGTACGTTATCAAACAGCACTTGGGGCTTTTGTCACAGAAGGAACATCACACATATTAGGGAAGAGAGAAAAATAATACACGGAATACGGAACACATGTGCTGTCAGCAACGCCGACAAGAGGACACCAGGAAAGGAAATAGCATCATTTATCTCTCTCTCTCTCTCTCTCTCTCTCTCTCTCTCTCTCTCTCTCTCTCTCTCTCTCTCTCTCTCTCTCTCTCTGATCTCTCCACAATGTGCTCTCTCTCTCTCCTGTCTCTCTCTCTCTCTCTGTAAATGACCCTCTTATGCAGAAACTGGGTATCTCTCTACCTGTACATACTTTCAGATTCATTTTAGGAATAATTGTATTTAAACTAAATGTCTTAAACGAACAGATGCCCCTTCAATATATGGTCTGCCTCGATCATATTCGGTGGTGGAAGAATCCCAGCTGTTGGTCAACTGCAGTAAATACACTTCGCCAGGGAACCCAGCAAGCACTAACTACACCTGGAGCTATGGAACATCGGTTGTCAGTAGTGAGGAAGTCCTTCAGAGGGATAACGTTACCAGAACTGAAGGCGGACTATACACGTGCACTGTCAGCAACGATGTTGGGGCGGAGTCTGCTTCCGTTAGTGTTGACGTACAATGTGAGTATTTATTGACGCCAAACACTCTAAGTGATCCTGAAAAGGAATATTTGTATGAAATTATTACCATTGATCTGCAAACTGTATACAGAATTAGGACATAAAATAGACATTATAATTGTGTGATGGTACAAACAAATACATATTACAAGTAATGTTTTCTTTAAGATGAGCCATCTATATCCGGCTTCCCCTCCAACTTCCGGGTGATCGAGTCAAAACAATTGTGGATTGACTGTAGAGCATACACCACACATGGGAATCCAGAAACAACGCGGTTTTCTTGGACCTTTAATGGCTCTCAAGTCAGTGCCACTTCTTTGCTGGAAGTGGGCAACATCAGCAGAGGTGAGGGAGGGCAGTACACGTGTACTGCCAGCAACATCCTGGCACCAAGTGGAGAAACTGAACACCATGGCACAGCAACAGCCAAGGTCAAGGTTGATGTACAGTGTGAGTTTCTCCATGCTATATTGTGACAGTAGATTAGACGAGTGTGTACATACTAAGCTTTATCACCCATGGTGTTTATTTCTTAATTTAATTTTACCATCCAAAAGTCCGAAACAAATTGGAGGGCTTCAGCTAATAATAATTAACGCGCAGTCGCAGTAGTGTTTTTCAGATAATTTCTTTACGTGTGTCCTGAAACTAGCAGGTTGTTTTATCGGTTACAACTTATCAACAATTTATGCTAGATATGTGGAGTTCTTGTTATTTCTAATGTATCAGATTACAAAATGCCGTTAAGTAGAATATCTTATATAATTTGAACCATATGTTTGCTTCATGTGAAGACATTTTTAACTTTGCCTGTGTTTGTTATGTGTGCCACGAGTTGATAATGTGCACAGCCTTTGCTGAGCATTGGTACCGTCATTATTTGAAAGCCATCTTTCCCCACGTTGTTTTGTGACATTGAGAGCAGTTTGTATTAAAGTCTGCTTTTAGCAAGGATGACATGACTATTGAAGGTATTTTTCGTTGCCGTCAAACACATGGCGTCCTTTTTCACCCGACATCGTTTCGAATGCTGTCATTTACTCAACTCGATATATATGTTATATATACCCTCTAGCCTATATCATACACGTGTCGTATATTCTGCAGACCCTCCGACACTGACCAGATCGCCTACACCGAGGACAGTCAGGGAGATGTCTACTACCTTCACAATAGACTGTAACAGCACTACCATACCAGGAAACCCACCTGATACAGTCTACACATGGACATATAACGGTGCTACTGTCGGCGACTCCGCTGTGTTGACTGTACACAACATCAGCAGGAGTCAGAAGGGGGACTATGTATGTACAGCTAGCAACACTCTGGCCCCAACCAGCGGTTCCCAACGACAGGGTATAGCGAGTACCGTTGTTGAGGTTGAAGTGGAGTGTAAGTATAAATGACAACATTTAACAGTGAGATGGAGGAGGCTATTCTAAGTGGACGTACGCTGATACTGAACACTGCCTAATTTGGTGTTATATTATCTTATGGACCTGAAGCTTTGTCTCAGTTGGTGCTTATTTAATTCTACGTATACACATCATAAATCTTCAGTCTTAGTCCTTTATTTATTGACCCGTGAAGATCTTCAGCAACCCATGTGCTTGCCATAAAAGGCGACTATGCTTGTCGTAAGAGGCGACTAACGGGATCGGGTGGTCAGACTCGCTGACTTGGTTGACACATGTCATCGGTTCCCAATTGTGCAGATCGATGCTCATGCTGTTGATCACTGGATTGTCTGGTCCAGACTCGATTATTTACAGACCGCCGCCATATAGCTGGAATATTGCTGAGTGCGGCGTAAAAATAAACTCACTCACTCACTCCTTTATTTATTATCAAATCCCAACGTAGTATCTTACAACATTACATATGGTGGTGTATATGGTATAGTGATATAACACACACAGGTCATAATACTACGATATTCATGTACTGAATAATGTGTCTGGTTATGTACATGTGTTTCTAATATATCTTGCCTGTGGATACTATCCGTGCTTTTAAACGTTAGTTTCACACCCGCTTTTCCCACCCAGGGACAACACACCGACAACTCAAATAATAAAGATGTGTTCTGAGTACTTACGAGGAATGACTTTGATATATGGACCCAATCAGTCAATAAAGTATGTTTAAATATATTCCTGATCTCATTTTACAGATGCCCCTTCAATATCTGGACTCCCATCTACACATTGGGTGGTAGAGCAGTCCCAGCTGTTAATCGACTGTAGTCAGTACACTACACCTGGCAACCCTACAACGACAAACTACACGTGGATCTATGATCAGTCAGTGGTCAGTGATGAGGAAGTACTGCAAGTGGACAGCATGAACAGGACAGACGCCGGACAATATACCTGTTATGTCAGCAATGGTGTAGGGTCGGAGTCGTCGACCGTCAGTGTTGACGTACGATGTGAGTGTTCATGTTACACCAATAGCCCATCTCATGAAATAACATTTGCTGTTATCTATCTGGTAACAAGTATGCTGAGTAATTATATACATTTTCCCATCAACAGATGCTCCATCCATCACTGGCTTGTCATCTTCATACCAAATGGTTGAAGAATCTGACCTCAGGATCAGCTGTCTGAACTATACTTCACCTGGCAACCCTGGAACAAGTAACTATACATGGAGCTATGAGGGACATGTAACCCAGACCGTGGCTGTTCTTCAACGCAGTAGCATCAACCGAACTGCAAGTGGCCTGTATATCTGTACAGTGTACAACGACGTCGGTTCAGACTCAGCCGCAATCAGCGTTGATGTACAGTGTGAGTTGTGATAGTTCTCATGCTACAAGCAGAAAAATATAACCCTAACATAACAGCCCCCGTGTATCAGGTAATATCAAAGCCATAATGATTTTGGTTTTTGTTTGTCACCATCTGGATCTTCGGGGTCGTACTCAAAGGACAATATAACATGGTCAAGCCTATGATCTGAAACATCCTTAAACAACTTAACATGTTCAATCATCTGCAAGTAAGCCCTTTATACAAATAAACAGGATAAGTGGCAACATAGTAAATCAAAACAGATAATACATAGGTAAACTGACGTTCATGTGTCCATCTATAATGACATCATAATGAATTGAAATGTGCTACCAGTACTAGTTCCTTAACTCAAAACTACACATGAAGATGATCATTGAAACAAGTACCATCCTAAAATCAACTCGACTTTTACTTTGACAGATCCTCCTTCTTTGATGGGCTTCCCATGGACTTACAGCGTGACTGAGACATCCAGAGTGAGGGTAGATTGTAGCAGTTCCGTCGTCAAAGGAAACCCTCCATCAACAAACTACACGTGGACATTTAACGGCTCTGTTATCACCAACAGTCCTGTGTTGGAAATACACAACACTAGCAGGGAGCAGGGAGGCCGCTACACTTGTACAGTGTATAACACACTGACACCAACGGATGGGTCTCCGTATCTGGGCACAGCTACTGGACATGTCGTACTGGATGTACAGTGTGAGTCTTTATGGATTGTCTGATTCATATCATGCAACCTCTTGCCTTGGATATCATTTTGGTGTGTTTCATCGGTTTAGCGAAAATGTTTACAATTTAACACGAGTGTTCCGATTAAAGGAAGGAAAGGAACAGAAATATGGGCATATGTGCAATATAGACAAATGTTTAAACTCTCTGAACCAATGACAATACATGGCAATAATGTCAAGGATGTTCTCTTTCATGTCCATTGTATAGAACCGTCCTCATAGTGTTCAGCTTACACAGAGGGCTTTCTGTGAATACATAATTTCGACTTCGTAGCTTTTGTATTGTTTGTAATCTTTCTCATTCAATTATATTTTATTTCGTAGAATGGTTAAAGTGTCATTATTTTCAGACCTACCGGCTATATCCGAGTTCCCATCCGTGTTTACTGTCGCTGAATCGTCTTCATTCAGTGTAGACTGCAGCACCAGAACATCACCCGGAAACCCAGAGAGCACAAACTACACGTGGACACATAATGGATATATTGTCAGTGCAGGACCAAACCTTGTACTGGAGAGCACTGGTAGGAACATGAGCGGCATCTACACCTGTACGGCCAGCAACATGCTGACACCACGTGGATACGGGCAACTCCTTGGGACAGCAGCAGCCTCTGTTAGTGTGGATGTGCAGTGTGAGTTGGGGAGAACCTTTATGTGTTTCCTAAAGCCGGAAGCGTCAATATTGCACTGTTATCATGGCGCTCTGTGATTTGATATATTTGCACCAGACACCAACCCACAGCCTTATTCCACGACTATTAACAAACGTGTCACCAAGTGTGACCTGAAGAGCCATTTACGTTTTGCGAAAAGTAGGCTTATGTTTCAATGAACCAATTCTAATCAAGAGATGCTTTATGATTTTTAGCCACTTTTGAACTTTGGAATACACTTTTAATCGCTGTAGGTTGTTGTGGTAAAACCTTCAATTCCTTTTCTTGTTTTAAGATGGTCCTGGGAACAGTGTGGCTATTACATCATCTGGATCACCGAGCATGACTGAGGGAGCTGGTGCGTTCATTGCTACGTGCAGTGCTGAGTGTAACCCAAGCTGCTCCATAACATGGAGGAAAGACAACACCCCCTTGTCAGGTCAGATCAGCCTCACCAATGTGTCCAGGACAGACTCTGGAGACTACACCTGTCATGCGCAGAACGGCGTCGGTGAAGCCCGAGAAAAGAAAATCCTACTGACTGTATACTGTACGTTATTCTTAAAAGACAATTGGTATGGACAAACTATACTGAGTCAAAAAAGAAACTTCACATTCTTTCTTCAGGGCACTATAAAAAGCAAGAGATGGTAAGATGGTTAAATTGTTATTATTTCATTGCTGAGATCTGTGTGATGTACTCGATACACTGACAGTGCCATAATCAGTTCCATTAGGCTATACCGCCGTTCCAAAACATGGGTATACAGAATGTCAAGTCACAATATGGACGTCGAGAATGGAGATTGGCAGCCCGCAACCGATTTCGAATGGTCTGTGAGGACAGTCGACCTCTAAACATCTCAGCTCTGGTTCGTGTAGCCGGCAGAAATCTGTCACGTAGGTGACGTAGGACGATTTGACGGTCTTGTGCTCGTGACGTCACACGTGGACGACCCGACCTTGGGCGATCAGAAGTGGTGCCAGTTTGTTGTAGACGACCTCGCAAGTCATACACAGTACAACGGTTGCATCCTTTTGCTCTTGCGACGTCAATAACTGATCTTCCCGCTTGCAACATGCCAACGGCACGTTCACGTTGCACATTTGACAATCGTGGCATTTCAAGTACCGTTAGAACTGTGGTTTAAAAGTGTTTCTTCAATTCTTGAGGCCAATACAAACACGTGCATATGTAGAAAACTTCGATGCGACGATCACGTGATCGACTGCACGTGCAAAACCTGATTTGGCACTAACGTTACTTGCACGAGGAATGGATGGGTTGAGTGGGTTTTGCTAACGTTTTTCTAGAGTCGAAAGATAGGGATCCCATTTCGGATACATAGATGTATCATCAGAGAAAAATTATTCAGTATTTTTCAAATTACATTTTGTGCAGTTTCTTTTTTGACTCAGTATATGTACATAACTCAATGTTTTTATCAGCAAACAAGTTACTGTTTCATTTAATTGTTCTGGAAATAACTGGCTAGCCTGCAGATGTGCAAATCATGTGAGTAACGGGTGCTCCGGGATGCCTTGTCCTTCCAATGGAATCTGTTTCAGCAGATTACTTTTCCTTCCTAACACACACACACCGACTGCCTTCCTATGTACCCAGGGTCTTCCAGGTGGCTTTCAGTCTTGTCTTGTTTTCAGCTTCTCCGTCAGATCCCACAGACATGCATGTAGTTGTTGTAGTCGACATAAAAGCCTCTTCTTGTTTCAGCTTCTCCGTCAGATGCCACAGACATGCAGGTAGTTGTTGTGATATATCAGCCTCGTCTTGTTTCAGCTCCTCCAACAGAACCCACAGACATGCAGGTAGTTGTTGCTATATATCAGCCTCGTCTTGTTTCAGCTCCTCCAACAGAACCCACAGACATGCAGGTAATTGCTGTAGTCGACATATAAGCCTCGTCTTGTTTCAGCTTCTCCGTCAGAACCCACAGACATGCATGTAGTTGCTTTAGTCGACATATAAGCCTTGCTTTGTTTCAGCTTCTCCGTCAGATCCCACAGACATGCATGTAGTTGCTGTAGTCGACATATAAGCCTCGCTTTGTTTTCAGCTTCTCCGTCAGATCCCACAGACATGCATGTAGTTGCTGTAGTCGACATATAAGCCTAGCTTTGTTTCAGCTTCTCCGTCAGATCCCACAGACATGCATGTAGTTGTTGTGATATATCAGCCTCGTCTTGTTTCAGCTCCTCCAACAGATCCCACAGACATGCATGTAGTTGTTGTGATATATCAGCCTCGTCTTGTTTCAGCTCCTCCAACAGATCCCACAGACATGCATGTAGTTGCTGTAGTCGACATATAAGCCTCGTCTTGTTTCAGCTTCTCCTTCAGATCCCACAGACATGCATGTAGTTGCTGTAGTCGACATATAAGCCTCGCCATGTCTCAGCTTCTCCGTCAGATCCCACAGACATGCATGTAGTTGCTGTAGTCGACATATAAGCCTCGTCTTGTTTCAGCTCCTCCAACAGATCCCACAGACATACATGTAGTTGCTGTAGTCGACATATAAGCCTCGTCTTGTTTCAGCTCCTCCAACAGATCCCACAGACATGCAGGTGGCTGCTGTAGTCGACATATAAGTCTCGTCTTGTTTCAGCTCCTCCAACAGATCCCACAGACATGCATGTAGTTGCTGTAGTCGACATATAAGCCTCGCTTTGTTTTCAGCTTCTCCGTCAGATCCCACAGACATGCATGTAGTTGCTGTAGTCGACATAAAAGCCTCGTCTTGTTTAGTCGACATATAAGCCTTGCTTTGTTTCAGCTTCTCCGTCAGATCCCACAGACATGCATGTAGTTGCTGTAGTCGACATATAAGCCTCGTCTTGTTTTCAGCTTCTCCGTCAGATCCCACAGACATGCAGCTAGTTGCTGTAGTCGACATATAAGCCTCGCCTTGTCTCAGCTCCTCCGTCAGATCCCACAGACATGCATGTAGTTGCTGTAGTCGACATAAAAGGCTCGTCCTGTTTCAGCTTCTCCGTCAGATCCCACAGACATGCATGTAGTTGCTGTAGTCGACATATAAGCCTCGTCTTGTTTTCAGCTTCTCCGTCAGATCCCACAGACATGCATGTAGTTGCTGTAGTCGATATAAAAGCCTCGTCCTGTTTCAGCTCCTCCGTCAGATCCCACAGACATGCAGGTAGTTGTTGTGATATATCAGCCTCGTCTTGTTTCAGCTCCTCCAACAGATCCCACAGACATGCATGTAGTTGTTGTGATATATCAGCCTCGTCTTGTTTCAGCTCCTCCAACAGATCCCACAGACATGCATGTAGTTGCTGTAGTCGACATATAAGCCTCGTCTTGTTTCAGCTTCTCCTTCAGATCCCACAGACATGCATGTAGTTGCTGTAGTCGACATATAAGCCTCGTCTTGTTTCAGCTCCTCCAACAGATCCCACAGACATACATGTAGTTGCTGTAGTCGACATATAAGCCTCGTCTTGTTTCAGCTCCTCCAACAGATCCCACAGACATGCAGGTGGCTGCTGTAGTCGACATATAAGTCTCGTCTTGTTTCAGCTCCTCCAACAGATCCCACAGACATGCATGTAGTTGCTGTAGTCGACATATAAGCCTCGCTTTGTTTTCAGCTTCTCCGTCAGATCCAACAGACATGCATGTAGTTGCTGTAGTCGACATAAAAGCCTCGTCTTGTTTAGTCGACATATAAGCCTAGCTTTGTTTCAGCTTCTCCGTCAGATCCCACAGACATGCATGTAGTTGCTGTAGTCGACATATAAGCCTCGTCTTGTTTTCAGCTTCTCCGTCAGATCCCACAGACATGCAGCTAGTTGCTGTAGTCGACATATAAGCCTCGTCTTGTTTTCAGCTTCTCCGTCAGATCCCACAGACATGCAGCTAGTTGCTGTAGTCGACATATAAGCCTCGCCTTGTCTCAGCTCCTCCGTCAGATCCCACAGACATGCATGTAGTTGCTGTAGTCGACATAAAAGGCTCGTCCTGTTTCAGCTTCTCCGTCAGATCCCACAGACATGCATGTAGTTGCTGTAGTCGACATATAAGCCTCGTCCTGTTTTCAGCTTCTCCGTCAGATCCCACAGACATGCATGTAGTTGCTGTAGTCGATATAAAAGCCTCGTCCTGTTTCAGCTTCTCCGTCAGATCCCACAGACATGCATGTAGTTGCTGTAGTCGATATAAAAGCCTCGTCCTGTTTCAGCTTCTCCAACAGATCCCACAGACATGCATGTAGTTGTTGTGATATATCAGCCTCGTCTTGCTTCAGCTCCTCCAACAGAACCCACAGACATGCATGTAGTTGCTGTAGTCGACATATAAGCCTCGTCTTGTTTCAGCTTCTCCGTCAGATCCCACAGACATGCATGTAGTTGCTGTAGTCGACATATAAGCCTCGTCTTGTTTCAGCTTCTCCGTCAGATGCCACAGACATGCAGGTAGTTGTTGTGATATATCAGCCTCGTCTTGTTTCAGCTCCTCCAACAGATCTCACAGACATACAGGTAGTTGTTGTAATATATCAGCCTCGTCTTGTTTCAGCTCCTCCAACAGATCCCACAGACATGCATGTAGTTGCTGTAGTCGACATATAAGCCTCGTCTTGTTTCAGCTTCTCCGTCAGATGCCACAGACATGCAGGTAGTTGTTGTGATATATCAGCCTCGTCTTGTTTCAGCTCCTCCAACAGATCTCACAGACATGCATGTAGTTGTTGTAATATATCAGCCTCGTCTTGTTTCAGCTCCTCCAACAGATCTCACAGACATGCAGGTAGTTGTTGTAATATATCAGCCTCGTCTTGTTTCAGCTCCTCCAACAGATCTCACAGACATGCAGGTAGTTGTTGTGATATATCAGCCTCGTCTTGTTTCAGCTCCTCCAACAGAACCCACAGACATGCATGTAGTTGCTGTAATATATCAGCCTCGTCTTGTTTCAGCTCCTCCGTCAGATCCCACAGACATGCATGTAGTTGTTGTGATATATCAGCCTCGTCTTGTTTCAGCTCCTCCAACAGAACCCACAGACATGCAGGTGGCTGCTGTGACCGATTCATCAGTGTCACTACAGTGGACATCCGGTTTCAATGGTGGGGCACACCAAACATACTCTCTTCTGTATAAGTCGGAACTGGAACCTCATTGGTTGACATGGGACGACAACATTGCTGATCCAGGAATACATCACCAAGTCAAAGTGCATGTGCCGTTACTGACGCCGGACATGACATACCAGTTCCAGGTGTATGGTACAAATGTCTATGGTCAAGGGGAGATGACTGTGATAAACGCAACAACCTTTATAGGTAAGTGGCAGAAAAGTAATTCGCGTACCAAGGCTATATCTTGGTCTTATCCAACAAACAAACATTGTGTACAGTTAAATTTGTCATGTATCTCTAAGGTTGAAATTGTGGTATATTTTCAAAGCACTAGTATTTGCATTCACTATTCACTTTCGTTCGCAACCAACTTGTTGTCTGCCATGAATGTGATTTGTTATTTCTAGCCCAGGCATCATTCATGAGCAGACATAACATGCCAGTCGGTCTTGCTGCTGGACTCGGTGTGCTGCTTGTGGGTGTCCTCGTCACGGTCTGTGTGGTTCTATGTCGGAGACGGACACAACGCACTGCTGGCATGTATTTTAAAACTATTAGGTCCCACTAATGGGGGATTTACAGATTTAGGACTTAAGCATTGACGTTGTTATTTGACAACAATCCTCTCCTTTTCAAATATTGAAAAATATAAATACACTAAACACCAAAAGAAACGTTACCCTCCTTCCTGAATGAATTTATTAAATTTTATTTAAGTGAGGATGAAACTTTCTGCTGCATTTTATAACCAGACAAAATGGAATCATATGATCACGAAAAAGCAGTGTTTGTTTGGCTTTCTTTTCAACTAATATATTCAAACATATCTTTGATAGTTTTTAAGTAATTCATAAAGGTAGGAGGGTAACGTATCCTTTGGCGTTTAGTGTATAATATTACTATTATAAATATTAGTGTCAGAAAGGAAGTTAACATCAATTTTAAAGGTCACATGCAACGTAAAACACAACTTTGCAGATTCTGATACATTTCGGTGTGGACTTACCGAAACAAATCATCAAAATCATCAAAAATGCAAATAAAGTTGAAAAATAACGTGATGGAAAAAACTGCGCGAAATCGGAGTTCAAACAATTCACTAAATTTCCCCAAGCGCTTGGGGGGAAAAGTGGTTTCAACAGCTGGGCTGCGCTGCGCTCATAGCACATGCCCAGTGAAATAGGTTCGCGCAGCTTGGAAGCGGGTGGTCCGGTGAATACTCGGTGAAGGCTTTGGTGTGAGCTAATTTTCTAATGTTTTGTTGATGTTTCACAGGCGGGAGCTTTTTATATGTTATGACATTAAATTACCGATTTAACTGTTTATATAATTTCATTTGTCTATTTCACCACACGTTCTTCTTACCGAGTCACTTTCTCAGTTCGATACTTAAAAGCAATGTCATTATTTAGCGTTTACAGATTTTCTAACTGTGATATAGATATTTCGTTGTCACAGACTAAACTCAATGTCTGTTTTATTGAAACCTATGTGTCTGCCTGCCTGTCTGCTAATGACAATATTCAATACACAACTGCGATCACTGACCACATGCAATTTGAACTTAACACCTATCAGGCTATATACCATAAACAAAACGCATTGAGTTATGGCCCGAGTTCGGTCTCTGTCACATTACGTAATTACACAGACAGGCAGGTGATACTTGTACACATGACATGTTATGATGTCTGTTGATTTCAAAATGTTATACGCACAAAAAATCAGCACGTAATTACAAAACTCTCTATATACACACACAATGAGCCGTGAAGGCATCGGCAAATGAACCAGCCGTTACACTTGAGAGTGCACACCCACCCGCTCTGACTGGGTTCGGTATCCCGGCTGCTTCGTTTCTTGGGAAGTAAACCCAAGTACAAAATATTGCACTTTTGATTTGCGATTGTACGCTTATAATTTTGTTTTTATGTTTTTTCATAATCAGCAATGTATGTTATATGTCATGAATAAGTGATAATTGTGTTTTAATTATGTTTGATTTTTTTGTAGCATGTGACCTTTAAAGGGTCTAGTTATATTAATAATTTATTCAATGTATATATATTGATAAGTACAACCTGTATTTATCCTTAGAACAAAGCAAGGGGTTCAGATTTTTCATAATATATATTTCGAGTGGGTAGAATGAAGCAACTTATGACGCTATGATTTGCTTGCTTTACTCTTTTTCACGACTCGGGGGATTTGTAAATTGCTGATCCTAACTAAAGCTTAACCCTGACATGTTCATCTGTCACCAGCCCTACTCAATCAACATATACCATTTCTGACCATGCTTATCAGTAGATTAATGAGTTCAAGGAAGTTTGCTATTCTCTTACAAAGGTGTAGCATGCATTTTTAATTACATAGAATTACGGCCATTTTTCTAGATGGAGAGGAATCTTCAAACCTACCCATGTAAGTATTTATGCCTTTTTGGGAAATGTCCATGAGATTAGTACAGATGTGGTTGAACAACACTTATTTCTCTCACCGACACAAACAAAAACAAGAAAAGAGGGAGGGGGGAATAAAGATCAGGTGTAAAAGTGATCACAATTGTCAAGGTCCCTCACGTCATTGCAGCCAGCATCTACAGCAAGAAGGTGCATACGAGGATTCACTGATGCCATAAACCCAATGGAAACATACCCTTCGGAAATCGTGATCAATCTGTTGCTAACAGAAAACATTTCCTCAGCAATCTATGCTAGGCACAAGCGCGCCCACGAAACATGGTCGTTGGGCTCGATCAATGCTTATGGTTTCAATCACTTGATTGTCGGATCGAGGCCTGACTGTTAACTGGCCAGTGTCATGTAGCTGGGATATTGCTGGACCTTAGACATGCCAATAAAGAAATGCACCTATGTACAAACAAACCGCTTAAGATGGTTGTCGGCTACGCGTCTCCAGGCGTAGTGCGCCTAATGACACTTAGTTTGTTTTTGTTTTCCTTGCAAATATGATTCAGTTTCCGTCTTAAAAAAGAATTTGAGTTCAGCATGCTGTCACTATGCTATTATTACAACAAAGAGGAATGTTGAGCACTGTGCCTACAAAAAGAACATGCATGCTTTTAAGAACATTTCATGTTCATTTTCGCCCAGCAGTAAGCCTACGAATATTCACTTACGGTTCTAAAACTATCAGTATTAAACGGATGAGGGAAATTTGGATTGCTATTTTCAGTAACCAATAGTTTTCTGTCGCTTTCAAGGAACCCATTTATGCCTCGGCCCAGTTTATCCCAGCAAGGTAAGTTCAAACCACACTGGGTCCAAACCCGACCAGGTTTTCGTAAACATTCAGATTCATTGTTTGTTTGGATCGCTGTTCCTGGTATTTCCAAGGAATTGTACTGAATCCTAATTTAACCAAATGAACGAACCATGCGAATAAGATTTCGATAAATTGCATCTGACATCCCCAAATATCTGACTCACAATTAACTGAATCATCACCAATCCTGGAGAAACATATTCATTATTTTGATAATTGGTTCTGATCCACGGCCCTCTAATCCACACAGTTAAACCTGACGTGACAGTCGTTGCAGACGAAGATCACAGCACTCCTGCTTCGGATGGTGATGTAGGTGAACGAAGAGGCTTAGACCTCAAGAACCAAGGTATGACGGAGATCCCCTCTACATAGTGTACGTCGTACTACATTGGTATTAGGTTTAAACTACGCAACAAATGCCCAATGCCTACAACGATCCAGCTTTTGAGAATAATTCAAACAATAATGAAACTGCGTTTTAAGGTTTTCGAACATATATTTCATTCAACCATACCCGTTAAAATGTTAGCATGAGAAATTTAGCGACTAATGGTTAACGCAATAATAGTATTATTGTCAGCTGGAATATGAAATCATGATCTGTATTCAATTGTATGGTTTTACAAACCATTTTGGCACCCTAACTCTGTGAGACAGATGTCTGAGGTACACACCATGTAACCCATCCTCGATAATCTCCAGAGTATACGTTACGGTACGTATACCCTGGATATTATCGAGGATGCATGTTACCGAGATATATCAGATCCTCCCTATAGCAGATAAAACACTCCATGTAACGTTAAATGTTTTACATCTGATACAATCTTGTCTGAACTCCTACATCCGTATGTCCCCGCACGCAACTTGCGCTCAAACACACAAATCCGACTGGTCATCCCATCCTACAAACTGAAATCTTTCGGACCCCGATCATTCTCTTACTCCGCGCCTGTGCTCTGGAACTCTCTCCCATGTGCCCTTAAAAGCTCTGCCACAATTGACATTTTTAAGTCCAGACTTAAAACCCACTTTTTCTCAGTATACTATGTATAACTTCATCTGTAAATACTCCAGTGTAAATATTCCGTAGCGCTTTGAGCATGCCTTAGGGTGTGGAAGGGCCGCATTATAAATATGCATTTATTATTATTATTATTATTACAATAGCCTTGTGAAAACAACGTTACGAGAAAACGTTAACAATATGGCGTCAATGTATCTTCGCGTCACAATAGGGTTTCCTATCGAAAGTGTATAGCCAAGTTTGTTTAAAACATTTAATGACCGAGCACATATACTTTACACTTTGTAGTACAATAACTATTTGAATTTTTAGCTTAAGAGTAGCACGTATTTTTTGCGGGAAGTCAGCAAAAACATTACTCAACGTAGATTCGATCCAACTAGCCGACCTACTATTATTATTAAATGTTACATTTATAAATGACAATAATTAACTCATAATTTACAATGTGTCCGTGTTGTCGAAAAAGAGTAGGAGCAGATATGTTCAATGGTTGTGAATTCCACAGCGCCTTTCCGGTATACCCGTCTTACTCTTTGTATGTATCGAACATGTCTCAATACATATGTGACATGACATTGCCACAACACTATATTTGAATCTGTATATCATCATGAGGTTCTGGTGTTATTCCTGCCTTGTACAGAGGAGGATTTCACTAGCGATACCGGTCAGTTTGGCGGGAACATGCAGTAGTCACATGTTTTGTTAACTCTTTTCCAGGGTCTGTTGACGTGGACAACAAGAACTGTGACGTCACAACACAGGATTAGTGCCCAGTGCTGAGATCTTCCTGGTCATCTACTGTCCACATCAGCTGATGGCCAATGACTATGTAGGTGTCAACTGTCACCCACATGTTTTAAGCCTTTTGGGCTTTCGTACGTTGTCTTTGGGGCATTCAGTAATGTGACGTTGAAGGTGTCATATAGCATTTGATATAAATATAACATTGATATTCTTCCATATTTACCCATGTCCACTTAAGTGATTCTTAAAGCTGATCTATTCGACAAAATCTCCAAACATTTCAGTCTGGGTGTAATCTGAATACTGAAAAATACTATGGACTGAGGAAATGTGTCAAGGGCGTATCCTGTCAACTGCCCCCTTTGCCAAGGTCTGCTATGGACTGTCTGCTTCGTTATGACATTCTGACTCTCCGATTCAAAACACGTCTTTAGATAAATTCAGCAATGATTCCTTTTAGAAAAGTGACAATGAAACATGAACTCTGTTTATAAGTACCCACTGAGCAATAACGACACAGACAAAATGAATTCAACCGATCATCATATGTACATTTGTCATATCGGCACACACAACTAAACGACACAAAGTTGAACATAGCATGCCAATACGAGATAAACCATTTGATAACAAATGGACGTTGGTTGGTTTATGAAAACCTTCAATACATCCCCCGAAAGAGGGTATCCCCCCGGCATAAAAGCTGTCAGTCCTATCCACCAATAGTGTGGCCTCGACAAACCATTGGACGATGGTCTTGTGACCAATATGATGATGGTTGATACACAACATCCTAAGTGCCTACAAAACGCATTTTATGAAAACTGAACGGTATTTCGTCAGTTTTTATCGCCACATTTCTCAGCAAACGTTATTGTGTTTTGGGTCGGGTTCACGTACCGCGTTTGATAGTAGTTTCTTTGTCAATGTCATGAAAGTGAAAGTTTGCATGAAATTGTATGAACATAGGTCGTTTTATCTCCTGACAAGTCTTGACATGTTTGTGTATGATTGACAATAGTAAATTCGCTTCTTTTTGCAGTTTCTGTTTTTGTTGTTTAGTTTTCTGGTTCTTTTTGGTCTTTTGTCTCGGCAATACTATTGAGCACACGACCTCCTATTCCGACAGGCGATGAACCTGAAAGACAATGGATGCATTTGTTGCGTTATATCCTGGTAGTATAGTGGAATTGCATGTGTTGGTAATGTAATGTTGTAATTGTACACTAGTAGCTAAATAGTAATCTGCCCTGAGAGTACATGGATGATGGCGCCATTACGTCATACAAATGATGTTGACAAACCTATATGTTACGTTGCCTATGGCTCGGCATCGATAATTGTGTCCAGATGTCTCACAACACAACGCTGGTGGGGGTGAGGATACTCACCCTGCAACATTTAACAAATAAATAACAATTCATAATGACAACTATCCCCAATATATATATTATCTGCATTCATTATTTAAAATATCTACACATTTGCATTGCCCAAACATTACAGTCAGGAACATTCACATAGTATATTAATACGTGGTATTCTTCTACCCATTGGCATCAGTAATCAACATTTGCCAGTTTCAGAAAACTACAGATGCATACTCTCCCAATGTATACAATAATGGCAAATGTTAATGACTAATTTATCAATTTTAAGGTATTTCATAAGCGTTATTCACACATTATAATATTAGTCTTGAATATGTAACCTTAAGCTTTAGCTTATTATTTGGGAAATAAGTATAAACTAACATTATTCTGTGTAGATTGTAAGTTCTGCTGTGTTGAGGCTGGATGTAAACTGTCATAAGACACTAAGGTTAACCCATATACATAAACACATTAAACCCAATCAGAGACTGATCACACTGTGCATGAGTGGAACTAAGGCCCAACTGTTCAACCTCACTTCCTTAGTGATGTAAATATTACATAAAGGGACATAACTGAGATGTAACTTTGCCATATAAAATTCCACCACCAAGCCCTAAACAAAATCTCTTTTCCACTGATTGAATAACCAAACATATACATTAAAGAGCATCAACTGATAACAGAAAAAACCTGAAATGTCTCCAAACTCAACGAGGCCATGTATTCTGCTACATAAAGACTAGTCGGAACGAAGTCAGTATACTATGGAATCCTAGACATTGTCGAGTTATCCTCCTTACAGAAACAATACAAATGGCATTAATTAACCAAAAAGACCCATTCTGATCATTTGTGGCATAGTATACTTTGATATTATTTAATTTTAAGAGCTACAACATGACATTTGTCTGATGCTAAATAGTGTAGCCTGACCATATTGCCGACACATCTTCAAACATTGTGAGATTGTCAAGTAGACATTTTCCATGACTGTACTCAGAGTAAATTAGCGGATCATATACTAATTTTCCACGCGAAATTGCACATCTCAATACCTAGAATGTACACACTGCGTCACCTTTGTCATAACCCATTGTGTTTCGTCAATGAAGTAAATACACACTTACTAAACAGAAACAAGAGTTGTCGTTCTGGTTTTGATGTTCATACGCCAATTATTGAATTCTTCCAGAGGACCGACACGCCATTCAGCTTGATCCGCAATGACAAGAGATGGCCAAAATGTGTAACAGTCTTCTGAAAAGTGTACCGTGGAACGAGATTATCTCAGTCATGCTAACTCTCGCTGTCAAAGGTTGGGTTTTCTATTCCATTAGTGCTTTCCTGAGACTTGTAGACGTAACCTCCTGGACGGCGTTTCCTGAAAAAGAGAATAAATAACAGCATAAAGAGTTAATGCGCATGTCAGGAAGTCATTGGTTGCCAGCAGTTGAAATGCTTATCGATAGGAAATCTAACCCAAAGGTTTGAAGTTCGGAAAAAATTCATGGATATAATATTTTCGAGGTTGCGTTTCTAACCTCGAAAACCTCGAAAATTAGATACCTCGAAAATTTCCCGGTATACGGTAACAGCATAATTGCTTTTCTCTTGCACGAGATACTCTACAATATTCGACATACAGAGACCAGATACTCCAATGACTGACATTTTGAGCATCTATCACTGTAAAAGTCAATTATGACACCCAGGCGACTAAGTCAACATGCCTGATCATTATATCCGTTTAGCTGTGTTAGGCAACCACAGGTTGTATATCCTACGTGTTCCGACGTTTTGATCACAGGCGATCGTGAATGTTCCAAAACGGATTCTATTATTATATTGGAACAGGTAGCCTTGGTCGCTTTTTATTTATTCACACTGCTAGAACAGTATTGCAAAACTAATTGGAACGAAGCCTTTAAACAGTCTATATTCAGTTAAATTCGTTATTTGTATTCAAACATATATTCAGACTCGTCAGCATTTGTTCATTTCCGTTCATCAATGACCCCTCATTGTAGATGACAATATATGTCTGGCGGAGGTATATCATTACGTGTATAGGGACTTTGCCAACATATCGCCTTGACGATATTGTCATGGGATTTCACCAACCAAGTACATACCGACCAAGCTTCAACACTACACACTTGAAGCATCCGCAAAGTATCACCCCTCAAACACTATACTGGTTGAGGTCAGTTTGGACCTTGTAAAACTTCACATCCATGGTACGGTGGGTGTACTCACAGATGTAGATGAAGAAGTATTGCGCCAGCGATTATCAACACGACTATTATAACACCAGTCACGGACCCAGCCACCACTGGTGTTGAATTGTCGGGTGCTGAACCTGAAAATACAATCGCACAGACATTGTACAAACAACTTGGAGGCACTGGAGTTATCATCACCAATACCCAGCATGCGTATCTACTGGCAGATGCGTCAGTTAAAGATGCATAGACTTGTTAGTATCAACATTAAAACGACCGGTGGTGTATATGGCGCCCATGTGCGGTAAATAGTTCAGCCACCAACTGCAAGATCAACTGCAAGATCAACATCGACAATATCAACATGTATATCAACTGATATTTTACAGATATAAATTCATTGTTGAAGAGGCCTGACTCTTACATAGATACCATGCAGCTTTCATGTCGCCCGAAGCTAGCTCCTATATCTCTTGCAATCACAAGCTTACGAAAGGCATCATCCTGTTTTATGAGCATACATGCAGCATGAGTAAGCTTGATTGAAGCCAATTTGAAGAGAGTGTCCCCAATGACAGCTAAATGTTGATACAGTATACATTAAGATTGGATAAGAAACCAGGACCAGCATTTACAAATTAACATCAGTGCTCTGTAGACCAGCTGTTACTAAAATTGTATGTCCGCTCAAAATTTAATGCATCCGCCATTTCACGTGTGTGTTCTTGACACCAATTTAAAGACTCTTCTGACACATAAGTGTACACAGCTGGTGCAAGTTGGTTAGTCTTTGATTTAATTGTTATATATAAAATGAGGGCTCATACACTTTGGCCTGATATCAATTTGTCAGTCTGGCATGAGAACAAAGACATTTCAACAATGAAGTACTGACATCCGCCTGGAACACGATCATGACATGGGTTCCCGCTCTGCAACTGCTACAGGATATACCACTTGAATAACACTATATGATGCATGTCTTCCTTGTTGGTTTGCATGTCATGTAAGTGTTAGGTTAAGGTTCATATTCAGTTGTTCAAGTATTTACTTTTACTTCATAAACATATTCACTCGTTTTTTGGTGGGTTTTTTAGTTGTTGTTGCAGACCACTCCAAAACATCAATCGTTTTGAAGAGTGATAATATAATTCGAAGGCTGTCTTACTTCAGGTTCTCAAACTAGTTGTATCTTGCTATTTTTGTATTGTCCTTCGATGCCCGTTTTTATGTGGTTTATATGCACAATACGGCTGAGATATTCCTGACGTGCTGCTTAAGTTTATCCCACACTCTGATATCTGCAATGTATATATACGAACACACATACATGCGTGCAGAAATATACAGCAACATGAGGCGTTTTTCTGAAACAGTTACCTAATGCATTGGAAGACAGACACAGCAGCGGGTTGGCAGAGGGAGTCCATCTCCCGTCGCTGCTGCAGGTCAGGGTGTTTGTGGACAATGCTTGATACCCCGAGTCACAGGTCAGTGTACAGCGACTCCCCGGTACCAGGTCGGTGCCGACACAAGCACTTGGAAGGATGTTACCATGACTTGGTTTTACCATGGCGGGACATGAATTGTCTGTAAAGGAAATAATGATGAACCCATTCCTGCCATTCCTGTAAATCTCATCTCTTTGTAACAGTTACAGGGTGTTGGTGTGACGACAGATGGTATTGTGAGCATCAAACCCAAGTATCTAAGTTTTTTATATAACTACACCAACAAATATGCAGAATTAAATAGATCAGAAATACCTGTGTTGTAACATACATGGACAGTGAGAACTTTCAATAATGATTATGATAAAATGATAAAACTTACTAGGTGTTACAATGCTGGTGTCATTAGTCTTGGTGCAGACAAGCTGTTCGCCTGACCAAGTACCTCCTTCACAACGCCTGATCGTCGTCCCACTTGAAGGCGAGAAGCCAGACTGACAGGTCTGCTCACACAGCTCCTGGTAGTTGTAAGGCGTTTCACAGCTCAGAAATCTGCCGTGGACTGGAGTCGGTGGAGCTGGACAGATGATAGCTGTAGGGAGATTTGTTCCATGTCAATGAAATGTGTATTCGTCTGGATATTGTGAGGGATAACACCAGGCTTAGGACTAAATGTCTTACGAGTTTTTCAAAATTTCAGAATAGAGTGCTTCCTTAATGTGATGTAGGGAGCTTGTTCGAAATAACATTTGTGTGCATTTTCAGATATAATTCTATGTTTAAAAGCCCAATAAAAACACACAATAAAACTGATCACATATTGAGTAATAGTTCGAAAAAATGTTTTTGACAAATCAGTTACTACGGACCTTTACACGTGGTACCACTTGTCCACTGAGCTTGTCCAGCGTTATTGAGGTCACATGTTACGTTACGTGGACCAGACAGAGTGTAACCAGGGCGACAGTTGATGTGACAAGTTGATCCATAGAACGACCGGCAGATGGTTGAATCAATGTATCCGTTTGGAGGGGGGATGAAGTCTGTGCATGCCACCACTACACACAAAACACACGGAAACATTTTCTGTAATGCAGTTAGGAATGTTTGGATATCATGTGTTGTGAAACAGTTCGGTATCTGGCAATACTTGCCTATATTAGTCCGATATTTCCATCACACTCTACTGTAACCGTTATCTTGAAGACACAATTACCTGTAGTGTCCGACATTTCCCCCTACACTCACCTGCACCCATTATCGTGAAGACACACTTACCTGTAATGTCCGATATTTCCTTCACACTCTCCTGTAACCGTTATCTTGAAGACACAATTACCTGTAGTGTCCAACATTTCCCCCTACACTCACCTGCACCCATTATCGTGAAGACACACTTACCTGTAATGTCCGATATTTCCATCACACTCTACTGTAACCGTTATCTTGAAGACACAATTACCTGTAGTGTCCGACATTTCCCCCTACACTCACCTGCACCTATTATCGTGAAGACACACTTACCTGTAATGTCCGATATTTCCCCCCACACTCACCTGTAACCGTTATCTTGAAGACACACTTACCTGTAATGTCCGATATTTCCCCCCGTACTCACCTGTAACCGTTATCTTGAAGACACAATTACCTGCAATGTCCGATATTTCCCCACACACTCACCTGTAACAGTAATCTTAAAGACACATTTACCTGTAATGTCCGATATTTCTCCTTCACAAACCCATGACTGTCATCTTGAAGACACACTTACCTGTAATGTCCGATATTTCAACTACACTCACTTGTAACAGTTATCTTGAAGACACACTTACATGTAATGTCCAATATTTCCCCTGCACAAACCCGTGACTGTCATCCTGAAGACACAATTACCTGTATTTCCCCTGCACAAACCCGTGACTCATCTTGAAGACACAATTACCTGTATTTCCCCTGCACAAACCCGTGACTCATCTTGAAGACACAATTACCTGTATTTCCCCTGCACAAACCCGTGACTGTCATATTGAAGACACAATTACCTGTATTTCCCCTGCACAAACCCGTGACTGTCATCTTGAAGACACAATTACCTGTATTTCCCCTGCACAAACCCGTGACTGTCATCTTGAAGACACAATTACCTGTATTTCCCCTGCACAAACCCGTGACTCATCTTAAAGACACAATTACCTGTATTTCCCCTGCACAAACCCGTGACTCATCTTGAAGACACAATTACCTGTATTTCCTGCACAAACCCGTGACTCATCTTGAAGACACAGTTACCTGTATTTCCCCTGCACAAACCCGTGACTGTCATCTTGAAGACACAATTACCTGTATTTCCCCTGCACAAACCCGTGACTGTCATATTGAAGACACATTTACATGTATTTCCCCTGCACAAACCCGTGACTATTATCTTGAAGACACTCTTACCTGTAATGTCCGATATTTCCCCTGCACAAACCCGTGACTGTCATCTTGAAGACACAATTACCTGTATGTCCCCTGCACAAACCCGTGACTGTCATCTTGAAGACACAAGTCCTGGTTACCCGATATTTCCACCACACTTACCTGTCACTATTATCCCAAAGGCACAAGCACTGGTAATATTTCGCTATTTTCAAAACACTCACCTTTGATGTGATGTTCACCTTAACACAAGTAACTGTAATGTTCGACATTTCCACTACATTCACCTGTAACTGCTATCTTGAAGACACAAGTACCTGTAATGATCGATATTTCCACTACATTTACCTGTAACTGCTATCTTGAAGACAAAAGTATGGAAATGCACACTATTTTCCCCTGCACTTACCTGTGACTGTAATCTTGAAGACGCAATTACTTGTAATGCCCGATACATCTGCTGCATCCACTGTGACGGTGTAAACTCCATCACCTAGGTTAAGTGGTGGCGTCTGACTCTGAAATATGTTCACATACTGGCCAGTGTTATCGGTTGCTGCGGGTTGTGTCCAGTTGACTGTGGCTGTCTCATGTCCTTTGGGTGCCTTGACGAACACGTCCTGTGGGCAAGTGATGTTAGGACCTTGTGTGTCTGACAATAGTAACGCACTGTGTGAGGTGAAAGAAAGTTTGAATGTTGGCAAAACAAGAACATAAATGACAAGTACTCTATATTCGGGGAATACTCAATACGTTACAATTCTGATAAAAAAATATCTTATACTCACGTTATTGAAAACATCCATTTGTAGCAATCAATTCCAAGCTTATCAAACACACCTGTCTCTCACATTCAAACCACTGTCAACGTATTTCAATTCTGACGCATATATATCTAAAAATCAACTTTTTTGTAATTCAAATTATACAAAATAATCTATCATTTCTGGATCGTCTTTGTATCTATGAATTACACATTGTTGAAAATATCTACTTAATTTGACTTTTATCACACCAGTCTCCAAGAATTAAGTATTTGAACATGCCAATCTCCGACTGTCAAAGCATCGATCGCGTCTAATTTCTGACATCTACTGTAACAATAGTAAACATGTCGATCCTGTTTTTTAGCACACGTCGGAAACTCAATATACAAGATTCATTTATACACGTTATGTTCACACTAATGGATATTCTATGTCCATGTGACATCTACTTAACAATAGTAAACATGTCGATCCTGAGATTGTAACACACGTCGGGAACCCAATATACAGGATTCATTTATACACGTTATGTTCACACTAATGGGTATTCTATGTCAATGTGACATCTACTTAACAATATTAAACACGTTTGATCCTCAGATTGTAACACACGTCTGGAACCCAATATACAGGATTCATTTATACACGTTATGTTCACACTAATGGGTATTCTATGTCCATGTGACATCTACTTAACAATATTAAACACTTATGATCCTGAGATTGTAACACACGTCGGGAACTCAATATACAGGATTCATTTATACACGTTATGTTCACACTAATGGGTATTCTATGTCCATGTGACATCTACTTAACAATAGTAAACACTTAGGATCCTGAGATTGTAACACACGTCGGGAACTCAATATACAGGATTCATTTATACACGTTATGTTCACACTAATTGGTATTCTATGTCCATGTGACATCTACTTAACAATATTAAACACTTATGATCCTGAGATTGTAACACACGTCGGGAACCCAATATACAGGATTCATTTATACACGTTATGTTCACACTAATTGGTATTCTATGTCCATGTGACATCTACTTAACAATAGTAAACACTTATGATCCTGAGATTGTAACACACGTCGGGAACCCAATATACAGGATTCATTTATACACGTTATGTTCACACTAATGGGTATTCTATGTCCATGTGACATCTACTTAACAATATTAAACACTTATGATCCTGAGATTGTAACACACGTCGGGAACTCAATATACAGGATTCATTTATACACGTTATGTTCACACTAATGGGTATTCTATGTCCATGTGACATCTACTTAACAATATTAAACACGCTTGATCCTGAGATTGTAACACACGTCTGGAACCCAATATACTGGATTCATTTATACAGGTTATGTTCACACTATAGGGTATTCTACGTCCATTAGGGTGTCTCACCCTGACATATAAGCGGAGCTCCGATGTTGTTCCACTGCCCATTGCTCATGCATTGTAGATTTGACTGACCAATGAGAGAGAAGCCTGGCATGCAGGTGACCGTGCAGTACGTCCCTACCGTGGCTTCATACCCTGTGCAGTTGCTTGGGGACACAGAACCATACTTCGGGGAAAACAGAACCGGGCACGGCTTGGCTATAATAAAGAAAGATGTTCATCATATCTACCATGGAAGAACACACAGTTAAATCGGACAGGTTTGAAGACAGAGCAGAGTGCCATGGCCATCATTAAGAACGTTGATAATAGGTTTGTTTGTTCTTTAACGCTGCATTCAGCAATACGTCAGCTATATAACGACACTGACATTGGCACACGTTCAAACGGAATAGATGTGCACATTACCATTCATGATACACAACATTGTTTAACATATACCTGAATAAGACTAGTTTGGTGAAACACCAAATTAGTGTAGAGCGTGAAATGGTCATGTGTGGTATAGTACGCGTTACTTAATTACTAAACACTGCATTTAGGGAGCATTTACGTGGTGGTGTATCGTTCTGAAAACACAATCTTCATGATTTAAGGACAGGAAGAGCACCCTTTATTTTGTTTTTGAAAATAGTGATGTATTGTGACAGACGATATAATACTAAATCTATCTTCCACGTGTATATAAATTATGAACATATAAAGCAGGAGAATGTGGAGTGAAAGATTTAAACGTCTTAAATGGAAACAGTACAAAGATTAAGGACAGTTATCGATCATACACGAATTCGATGATCGTAGGTTCGAATCTAAAATGATTATTGATTTGTGAACAAACGTAACACATTTATCAAAACTAATCTGGTTTCGCATGGTTTGAACCTGAGAGTTAACTACAAGTTCCTTTACTGGGAACAACTGACTTCTGCCACAGGTGAGTCCGTCTGGCTGGAGGGTCAGGCCGTCAGGGCAAACACAGAAGAAACCCTTGTCAGGGTTAGGCAGACAGATGTGACTGCAGCCACCACGTCCATTACTACATCCGTTGGTACCTGAGGGTAAAGGAAATACACATGGCTTAAAGGCTTGCGTCGCAAGAAACTAAAAACACTTTCCCTTCAAATCTGGTCTCTAAATAATTCAAAATAATTATAGTGAAAGAAAAACATAAGAGATCGCATAAAATTTCAGATTTTAATCACGTCAAACATAACAGACTTGAGTCATTGTTTTCAGTTTATATGAAGAGAGTCAGTATCGAGTATGTCCCCCATGTGCTCTCGCAACTGTCTGGCAACGCCTAGGCATACTTCCAATCAGTGTCCTTATTGTATGTATATATGTCAGACAATAGATGCGATCCTTTATTTTTTTCCTTCAGCATAATAACGACCAATTTAATGACCATATTGATCGTGATACACGTGTAATACCTTCTGCCGATCACTATCACAACAACATTGTTGACATTGTAGTAAATGATTAAATCAGTGCTAAAGATAACTAAACGATGAGTTTTTGCCATTCTATAACAAGAGGCGTTATCATGTCATATCTAGATGTGATAAAATCAACATGTACTATTGCGTTATCAGCCTATTTTATGACCTGTCACCATCCGTATGTGTAGCACAGCTTGGTATTACACCGATCACCGTATCTCATTCATACATGTAGATGCCATGGACGTAATTACAACAGACTGGAGAAAATATCCTCTGCACGTCATTATGTGCCAAAATAATTACTGGCTTTAAAAATGATGCAGATAATTTAGACAAGACCAAGTAAATGGTTACAGAAAGACACATGACAGTCCGCATCGACACTAATTCTTAACTACGCGTATTGTAGCGTTAAAGAGAAAAGGGTTGTGCGTTACTGGATCTCTGTCAGAGTAGGGATCCGGACAATGTCAGAATGCTAATGACGTGCAAGGTTAACTTTGTGTTAATGTGGCATTACCTCGTTGTACAACTTCTTACTACCTGTACCCGCCTCACACAAGTCCCTTGCTCAGTGTCATGTAGTATTTCAAGGAGCCCTTTCAAAATGTTTTATGTTAGACATATGGAGGGTGTTTACAATTCGACCAGTCTATAACAGAGTTATACCCAGTGACTTTTGTCAGATAAACAAAGGTAAAGACCTTTGCATGTGTTTGGGGCAGGTGTGTGCCTGGTATCATCACTACTCTAATGAAGAAACACCTGATATAGTCGGACTTGTACAATGGGGTTCTTATGAATATGGAATTCTTGACGAATTTTAATTCGTGAGTCGGTAACAAGTTCCGCCAGTTCTTCATACCACTTTACAAAATGATCTCTTCCAATATTGCAACCTAATCAACCATTGTCACTTCAGCAGCAAACAGAGCTGAGGAAACTACTGTATTTGATACCTGCAACATCATAGGCACCTGGATTAGACACTCTAATGTGGCGTTCATAACAAGACAATATTTCAATGGAACTATTTCACGTTTTTGTATTCAGACATTGTTCTAATGCTGTTGTTCACGCAGTGTAGGAAAGATGTAAATTACCTCCTGGCAGGTCACGTAAGTGACTTATATTAATCATCGTCAGGATTAGATCGAATGATATGGCCTCACGTACCTGATGGGCCCCACCCGTCTCTGTGATAGTGGATGTCGTTGAGGCGCCCAAACCCACCTGGCCCCACTGTGGTTAGTCCACTGCCGTCATCGTTCATCCGAAATACAGTGCTGCATTTTCAAAATCCAAATGTGTAGCGAACGTTATAAAAGATAAAATACGGTTTTCAGTCGTGTTTAAGGGGGAGACTTAGAAGTGTTTACTAAAATGTTGTTTGCACCTACGGGGACAGACAGGCGACTGTCGAGTGTTTACTGGAGCACTGTTTGAACCAGTAACAGGGGAAGACAGGTGACTACCAGTGTTTACTGGAGCACTGTTTGAACCAGTGGCAGGGACAGGCAGGTGACTGTCGAGTGTTTACTGAAGCACTGTTTGAACCAGTGACAGGGGAAGACAGGTGACTCTCAGTGTTTACTGGAACACTGTTGGTAAAGTCTGCGGCAGTGAGAAGCAGATGACTGACAAGTGTTTACTGAAACAATGCATACACCTCAAACAGGGACAGTTAGATGACTGAAAAATGTTCACTGAAGCAAAGCATGCACCTACTGTTGGGGCAGACGGGTGACTGACAAGTGTTAACTGAGCCCTAAACTATGTAATGAAGCACTGGGTCGACTTACTGTTTGCTCCAGTCGGTGAAGAAAAGATAATCGCTGAAATATATAATGCCGAAATACTGAGATCCCACACTGGAAGACAAAACGACGCGGTTGCGACCGTCAAGCCGAGACTTTTCAATCGTACCAGAACCCTCATCACACCAGAATAGTTCATTGCCTGCAACACAGCAAGAAAATACCATTAGTTACATGTCCTCTTTCATGCTGTGTATGTGGGATAAGGTGGAAGACAATGGTAAATTGATATATCCTGAACCGACTGACCACTGTAATCAGCTGCAATAACACCATGTCCTTTATATGATGGTAACATTCAATATGCAGCTAATGTTTTTTCGGTAAGTTGACATATGTAAATATTAGTTTGCGCTAGAAGCGTTACCGGGACCCTTCACATGGTTCAGTAATCACCTACATGTACTGAGGTGAATCCCTGCAAATATCTCTTTGATAGCAGAAATGCCCCTTTATACGTTTTATGTTTTGGGTTTATATACTGGTACTATGTTATATTCATTAACACCAAAACAAAAGAGACGTGGAATGAACTACCGTCGGAGTTGATGGCGATGCCTGTCGGTCGAACAAGATTCTTTGTAACAATAGGGGTTCTCACCGACCCGTCATATGACGCTCTCTCGATCTTTGGGCTGTCTCCGTAGTCACACCAGTAGATAAGTCTGGGGGATAGAATGACAACACTTGGGGCAAGCCGTTGGTGATCTGTTACTACCACAACCAGACATTGAATATATTTAAAGGATTCAAGTCAGCATCGTAATTAATTCTAATGAACTAACATATGTTCACTGTCAGTACTACAGTTGATACACTGACAATAATATCACATCTATGAATCAGTTCGTTGATATGTTCATGAATTAAGAAGTTTGAAATCACTTACCCACTCAATTTTCGGTTACATTAAAAATGTTTACGCACTTTGCTTCCAATAACTTTGGAACAGATTCTAGACTACATTCGTAAAATATTACAAGAAGGATTGTCCTATGAAGTCACATTGGTGATAGGTAATAATCGATGCTGTTACTTTTCACCCCGACACCAAGATAAAAACGTAACCATGTGTACCATGAACCACAGTCCAACGTGGCACGAGCGATAACGTAAAGTAATATCCCGGCAGAAAAAATTACCAACTGAAGCTATGTTATGAGACCAAAAAGAGAAGAGTCTGTTCAATATCAATGTACATATCCATATGAATAGTAAAACATATTGCAATCTTATGATAGATCACGGGGCAGCAATGACGGAAGCGATGATACCATTTCTATCAAAATGCTGATGATGCCGGGTTAGGTCTTGAAAATAACACCACCTTTTGTTCAAATCTTAATTTTATTGTTTTTTTGGGTTGTTATTTTATTTTTCATTTTTATCAGCACATGTATATATAAATATATTTGGCTGTAGGATGATTGGGTGATATTTCTTCAATGTTTCTTATATCACGGATCTTCATAAATAAATTGGGATGCATATGAACTTAACAGTAACTTATGAGCATCGTTATAGGTAGCCCTACATGACAGATGTGTGTACCAACCCAGTGGATGAGTCAGCTACAATGGCCCTGGGTTCATCCAGATCTTCCTTGACAATAGTGAGATGAGCAAAGCCGTCAATTGTCATCAGTCCAATGATGTTGTTGCCAGTGTCTGTGTAGAATATTAAGCGTGTCACTGGGTCGACGGTGATACCATTGGGCACAGCCACTGTCGATATATGAAGGACATTTTTTAGTGTGAGCATGGTCTTCAGCATGACTTCCTTGTATTAACCGAATGGGAATTGAGTGGTTTGTCAACTGCGTGATTGTTACACTTGACGGACGGTGCTGGTGTGTGTAAGTGTTTGCATAACCATCAACGGGTGGACGCTGATATAAAATTCAGATTAATTTAACTTTTACAAATGTATATCTTTTAAATATTTGGACGAAGTTGCTGCATGTTTGCACTTTGAATGAAATGAAATGGGATTGATTAATTGAAAGTGAGTGACCGAGTTATTATTTAACGTCACATCGGCAATATTTCAGCCATATCGTGACGAGTACATATGTGGCATTGAAGAGGAATTGATGTATATTATAAAAACCTGTCGACGATCACAATTACAACTAAAACTAGTGTGGAAAATTAAAACTAATAGCACTATTTGGACAATACAATATAAAAACTGGCTATAGATCGCCAACAACTAAACTAGGGACTCTCCAGAAGGAAACAGACAATCCGTGGCCCTTGGCATACTGCATAATAATGGCCTTGATTTGTTAACTTTTGTTGTGTGTCTGTGCGTATGTGTCTATGAGTGTTTCAATGGGAAAAATGGGAACGTGAGGAATAAATGAATGAAAGGCCACGGACTGTTACCTGCATTAAGCTGCCAGATAACTTTCTCCGTTGTGCCAGAAAGTGTCACACTGCGAATTTGTTTGGAACCAACGTCTGTCCAAATGACTCGTCCATCTACAAAGTCATAACCAATGGCCACGGGACTGTCTGCTGAGGACACTGGTATGTTCACATAGCTGTAGGTGCTGCCATCCATACGGTAGATCTTCTTATCTGCCGAATCTGTTATGAGGAGGAAGTCATTGGGGCGCTGTGCTGAAATGGATAAGAGCATCATTTATGGATCTCATAATATATATTTATGCAATGAATTATTTCAAAGTGAAAAGGAATAGCCTCATGTCACAGTGAAGCCTATTGTCCCATTCCGCTCCCTCATGTCGCCCGAATATATATATTGCTGCTTTTAAGTGTACAGCCTGTCTGTGTGATATATATAAATGTGTGTAAATTAGTGATCTGTATGTTTTATTCTGCGTGGTTATCACATGTTGGACGCCACCAATGAAATTTGACTGTGTCTTGAAAACGAAGGCTGTCCTGACTGAATGCCACTAGAACCAGGGCGACTATATAACAGGGAGTGGTCACTTCTCAAAAAGCCCTTTAGTGTATGCCTCGGCTCGTCAAGTGACCAGTGTAGCCAATATGGCGGCTGCGTAGGTTTTAAGATTGAGCCCGGTTTATTTTCAACAGCTGATTACATTCGCTGAGTGTTGTGACAACTGAAAACCTACATGTAGCAGATAAGTTACCTATTCTGTCACTTCATTTTAAGTCACATAACTGTTATTAGTGTCAGTATTAGCACAGTAGATTTGTAGTAAATTTTCAAGTCGGCATGCTGCAGCTCACTGGCTTCAATTCTCGGTACACAGCAAAGAAAGATTAAATTCTATCACTAAAAACTTTTTTCACATATTCGTTTAATTTTTAGAACGGAAATATACCTTTAGTTGAAAGTTTTTTGCAAGAAATAGTGATAGATTTATAACTTAAAACTGTTAGGGTGTATTTGATGTATGTGAAAAATAACCATATCGCCGATCTGTTCTGATCCGCCATTGATGCTTGTGATGCTTGAGTGTTATAGTTCTAAAACTGCTTTCTTTCTTGTTGATCCTAGTATGTGACAAAACTGGAAAGGTGTTTACAAGGCTTTGTGATAGTTCTAAACTTTCTGTTTTCGAGGTGTGTGTGACAGTGTCAGTTAACATTCTGTCAATGTCCATGCCATTCCACACATGCAATAAGATATCTGAATTAATTACTAATGTGAAAAATGTCTCAAAGTAAATTTTTAAAAATAGGACAGCTAAATTTTAACACATGTGTTCTAGCGATAGTTTTGCGTTCTTTAACATGTTTGTGGATGGATGGCCGTGGTGTATCATGTATCCTTTTATTCGCTCACACATGTATTTCTTTCCTTTGTTGTTTTTCTTTTTTACTTTCACTCATTGACCTATAATTCCTGCTCTTAATTCTTGCTATAATTCATTCATTCATTCATTGTAAAATTCCGACTGAAACAATAAATTGGCTGAAGTACTGTTAAACGCAGCCGAAGTTGCGCTGAGAACGAACCAAGTCACTGTGTGCGTTGGAGCATGACGAAGCACACGCTAATTAGTACAAATGGTAAAGAAAGCAAGCGTGTGACCTATATATAGATTATCCCTGCTATAACACGTGTAATTCGTTCGATTCACATTGGCTGTTTGGATTATTGTTTAATTTGTTTAATATTAAACAGGGATGACATTTTTTTCTCCAGTTCTCGTGGAGATTTGGGACTTGTAGTTTGTGAGATAATTATCTGGGCAATTATGGGTTGGACCACGAGGGCATTTCAACTATCACTTGGAGACTTTAATATGCATCTCTGATGCGAAAATCCTACGCGTAGCTACAAATCATATACATTGACACATTCACGATACAATCATCATCTTGTTTGTGTGCACATGCAGATCACCGGCCCTCGTGTCTTTGCGAAGATTAAAGATTAAAACAAAACAAATGATGACCCACGACTCGAAATGCTACACAGTACAATACATTATGACAAGGCCGGACACTTCGGTGTACCCTAGCGTAGCGATCGGCAAAGCAGGGAGGTGGGGTACACCGAACTGTCCGGCCTTGTCATAATGTATTATACTGTAAAGCATTTCGAGTCCTCAAATGTTTTTTAGCTTTCTTAAAATCTTTAACCCTCGCAAAGACACGAGGGCCCGTGATGCGGATATGCAGACATGCCACTGAATCGAGTCCTTATAATGAGATACATGTTAATATTTGAGCAACTTGACGTATATGCGAGCAGGCATGTTTTTGTTATGTTACTATTAAGCTTATGACATCGACGGCCTCCATGTAAGTAAACACGGGATAGGCTGAAACCAACCTGATGAGCACGTGACACCAGCGTCCTGGTCATGGCCACAACTACCTGCTCCCCATCCGCCAACAGGACACTGTGTGATGGAGACCTCTGATCCAAGACATGCCAAACCTTGCACCCGTATTGGATCTGTGCCTTCCCCAAAGGCTGCCTGGCGCTGGATAGAACCTCCGGATCTAAGTGGACACAACAAGCATGTCACATCTTACAACACACAGATACGAGGAGACACCATTGGAGAACCATCGTCCTTCACACAGATAAGCGTACGCAGCACTGTTGGCGACAATGGTGTACCAACTTCAAACATAGCCAACAATTTGTAGACAACAATGGTGTACCATCTTCATACATAACCAACCATTTGTTGACAACAATAGTGTAAAATCGTTATAAATAGTCAACCGTCTGTAGACAACAATGGTGTACCATCTTCATACATAACCAACCATCTGTTGACATCTACAACATAACCAACCATTTGTTTGACAACAATCTGTAAAATCATAAATAACCAACCGTCTGTAGACAACAATGGTGTACCATCTTCATACATAACCAACCATTTGTTGACAACAATAGTGTACAATCGTTATAAATAGTCAACCGTCTGTAGACTACAATGGTGTACCATCTTCATACATAACCAACCATCTGTTGACAACAATGGTGTACCATCTCCATACATAACCAACCATCTGTAGACAACAATGGTGTACCATCTTCATACATAACCAACCGTCTGTTGACAACAATGGTGTACCATCTTCGTACATAACCAACCATCTGCAGACAACAATGGTGTACCATCTTCGTACATAACCAACCATCTGCAGACAACAATGGTGTACCATCTTCATACATAACCAACCATCTGTTGACAACAATGGTGTACCATCTTCATACATAACCAACCATTTGTTGACAACAATAGTGTACAATCGTTATAAATAGTCAACCGTCTGTAGACAACAATGGTGTACCATCTTCATACATAACCAACCATTTGTTGACAACAATAGTGTACAATCGTTATAAATAGTCAACCGTCTGTAGACAAAAATGGTGTACCATCTTCATACATAACCAACCATCTGTAGACAACAATGGTGTACCATCTACATACATAACCAACCATCTGTAGACAACAATGGTGTACAATCTTCATACATAACCAACCGTCTGTAGACAACAATGGTGTACCATCTTCATACATAACCAACCATCTGTAGACAACAATGGTGTACCATCTACATACATAACCAGCCATCTGTAGACAACAATGGTGTACCATCTTCATACATAACCAACCATCTGTAGACAACAATGGTGTACCATCTTCATACATAACCAACCATCTGTAGACAACAATGGTGTACCATCTACATACATAACCAACCATCTGTAGACAACAATGGTGTACAATCTTCATACATAACCAACCGCCCCGACAACAATGGTGTACAATCTTTATACATAGTCAATCGTCTGTAGACAACAATAGTGTACCATCTACATACATAACCAACCATCTGTTGACAACAATGGTGTACAATGTTTATACATAGTCAACCGTCTGTAGACAACAATTGAGTACCATCTTCATACATAACCAACCGTCTGTAGACCACAATGGTGTACCATCTTCATACACAACCAACCGTATGTAGACAACAATGGTGTACAATCTTCATACACAACCAACCATCTGTAGACAACAATGGTGTACCATCTTCATACATAACCAACCATCTGTTGACAACAATGGTGTTTCATCTTCATCCACTATCAAACAACACACTACACCAATGACGCCTAGACGGAACATGATAATAAGTGTGAATACTAAACCAAACTAGAGTATCAAGGAGTGTCATGGGTTTAAAATACGAAAGTGCTTTAAACAGTCAGAATGCAATCCTTCATTGGGGTCATCTTCAAACAGTTATAGATTCAAGGCGGCTCAAATGGTGGCTGATTTACACATGGGGACAAGTCTATCAGAATGGAGTCTAATATACGTAAATATTTCTGCCTGTACAGGTAAAGATATTGATGTCCGGCCACAGAGTTTCGAAACTATTTTGTATCGAGTAAACATGAGTAAAAACTGGAGGGTTTTTTGTTTTCAAGTTGTTCTCGTACATAAAATACACGATTGTGCACTGTCGCCAGTGATGAAGCGAATATTTGATAACGCAGTAAAGCACGGGCGTCAACCTAATGATGAATATGTGTGAGGTCAGAGGGAGCATGGAGTACACTTTGACCCCTATGTCTCCGACTATTGATACATATGCATATGTACATGGGACATCAACATAGAATTTATGTACTTACGAGAAGTCAGAGTATCCAAGCATGGAACAAACGACAGCAGCATCTTTGACGTCCCAGGTATTGTCACAAACTGTTCCCCATGACCCAAAAGCGTACACTTCTACGCGACCTTGATAGGAGGTAGATCCACCGACAAGACGTACAAACGTTTCAGCAGGGTTTGGCGTTGACATAGGGGATAGAGACGTTCCAGCCGTCGTCATCGGTAACACTGTTAAAATACAGGTGTGTGAATGTGTACAGATACCATATACAGAAGGTTTTCCGTCAATGTGTAAGCATTGGACAGTGTAACACCCTTCAGTCGCTTAAGTGTTAATTGAGTGTGTTTGGAACAATAAGTCATTCTGAAGATGGCCTTGCTACTGAGGTGAGTCAGATGATCGTCCCATACTGTGCCCTGTGAGCTATTCAACGGAACCTCCTTTCTTTACTCTCCCTGGTTCTCAAGTCGAACAGACAGTGTAACGATTTAAAAACAAAAGTTTGTACTTTGTTGACTGTTTAACGTACGAAGATGAATGAATGAATGAATGAACGCCCAGACCATATTCGCTTATCCACCGTCACAGACAAGTGGTAAAAATATGCCCCAAACGTTAACGCATCAACGTAGAATGTGTTCATGTTAGAAAAATACATGTGTGATGTGTTCATGTTAGAAAAATACATGTGTGATGTGTTCAAGTCAAGTCTTCTTTGTGAAACTCAAAACATCTCAGTCAACCCTCAATCCCCTAATTGTTTGTCAGATAATCATAAATAGTAATCAGCTTGAATATTACATGACACAGATAGGACACATTGTTATCATGCTGGCTGTTTGTAGATACATGCAGATGCCTATCCGATGCTTTGACTATACCCAACTTCATCATTTACAGCAGTATCTCGAAGCTCCGGTTACATCTGATCTGTCCAACATACCTTGTGTGAGATGCGACAACAGTAGCAGCAGTGGCAATGGTGACCAAGGGCTGTGGTATGACATATTCGGTGGATCGGTACAAGTAAGAGATGCTCGGAGATTTAGAGGTGTGTACAACACCGAACACTGTTGCCTGTAGGAACGGGCACGTTATGTAGCCACATATCTACGTACAAGGACAATCGGTGATATCCAGATCAAGATACCATATCTCCCTTATACCGCCGAGGTATGTTGACGCAAACTCATACCAGTTGGTCCGCATGATATGAATGGATTTTTTATCGGAATGGCAAGCATTGTGATAACTAGACAACTATCATCTTATCCTTGCGTTATGTAAGCTATGCTGCTCGAAACAAGTAGGGAAGAATGGGAAATAACTTTAATGTCTAAATGTTAAACATATATCAATTCATAGTTCTATGATCATAATAAACTGTCTGGAACACATTTGTATCATCGGAAAGCAGCAGAAAGGAGTAGATTTTGTGACTGCCCACGTCCCTGGACGGACGACGACGTTCTCAGATCAGTACAGCGTGATACCGCGGTTGGTCAGTTTCATTTAGCCGAAGAATCGGTAAATCAAGGATCCGTTAGGTCATTCAAAGTGGTCAACGGCCTATGACGTTGACGCACACGTCTCCTGATCATGTCCCATACGTTTTCAAAGGGAGAAAGAGCTGGCCACCAGTAAGATACATAGCGATTCCGTACTGTTCAGTAAAAATCTAAAGGGTTTAAAAAATGATAATGTGTCCAAAACAAAAGTAGTAATCTTCGGAAGCAGCCCTGCGAAATCTTCAAAACTTCACTTAACCTATGGAACTGAAACCATCAATATTGTAGGTTCATGCGATTACCATGGAATTGAATTCCACATTAATGGCGACTTGTCCAAGCAATTTAAAGCACTTACAGAAAGCGCTACCAGAGCAATGCATTGCCTTCTAAAGAAATCCAGGAATGTTAATTTACCTTTAGATTGCCATCTACATGCATTTGATGTCATGGTTATTCCAATTCTCTTGTATGGTTCAGAGATATGGGGACACGGGAATTTAGAAAGAATAGAATGAATCCACTTGCAGTTCCTGAAAGTAGCTTCCGGTTTGAAACATAGCATCCCAAATAACATGCTTTACAGTGAATTTCGAAGACAGCCGTTATGCATCCAAATCTATAAGAGATTTATTTTACACTGGAATAAAAGAGCATCTGAGAACACATATTGGAAACAATCCCAGATTATATATTATGGTAAAAATATCTGTGCCAACATCTGTGACCATTGTTAAGTTCTGTGAAGCATATCCTAGATGACTGCGGTTTATCAGTATGTGTTTCTAAATCCGTCCGTATGCTCAAAGCCTTGGCTTGTCTCCGTCAAGTCAGGATGGCGGCCGGTTGGCGCTATTTGTTGCTGGTTACTCTTAGATCTCCGTAAAGTAAATATTTTAACACTTTTTGGGATAGGCTCCATCTGCGATTCGAACCCACGCTCTCAAAGTTAGGCACAAAGTCCGAGATTCTAGCACGATATTGTGTGATACTCGATCAAAACCGTACTTAAATGATAGTTTAAGGACCGCTAATTAACGTGACCGATTCACCGCATATGAAAACAATGAACTCGTTAACACTTTTGTTTGTAAACAAACATGTCGGACATCGGCGATTTCTACCTCGGCAGCATTGATGTTTTTTGAAGTGAAAAGCGAATGGTTTGAAGAATTTCTTCACCCTAACCCCACTGAAGAAACTTCGAAACAGGAAAATTCGTCAGCAGCGCAAAGGCGGCAGTATTCCGCTATACTTCAAACCGAGTCTAGATCTAGCGGGCATGACGACGACAACACACATCGGCCCACACGTCCTAACTTGTCCGCTTCCGACCCGGTCGTAATGCCCAGTCCTTCCACTTCCACTGTCCATGTTTCCCACATAAAAGCTGGCATGTCAGGGCCTAGATTTTCGAAGCTCTCTTAGCGCTAAGGGAGCTTCGAAAATCTAGGCCCTGGTCTTTTCCAAATCTGGCATAGTTGCGTGGTTATTAACATTTTTTTCCGTGAATAAAGTTAGCGGCGACTAAACTTAGCGAGTTGGGGGCGAGTCCATTGTCATACAGTAGGGGAGATTAATGATACGATTGAGAAAAATCAAATAATCAAATAATTATCCCATTCAGCCACTGCTGCTTCCACAACATGGAGTAGTCTAGACCAGTAATCAGGATAACGAGTCAAAATCGGCTTGGCTCATACGGCCGGAAGCTATGAATACAGAGTGTCGCTTAGGAACTGGTCAAATATAACATATGCTATTCTTGGGATTACAGATACATATATCTATTTCATTCAGTATAAAGGCCAAAGGCCCATAATACAATAATACAAATAAATTACAGAGTTGAAATAAGCGCGCATAAAAGTGGCAGGTGTATGTTTTGACAGTTGTAGCTCTAGTTTTATGTATACATTCAAAAATGTCCAAACATTTATGATAACATTTTTATCTTTACTGTTAATTATATGTGTATTAAGTTTTGTTTGCTGACAGTGGTATACAAAAATGGAGTAATAAACCTTTTTCTAGCATCATTATATATTTTACCATCAAAGAGGACATGTGTTTCATCTTGAATACATTGAATATCATCTAGTTTACAGTAAAAACAGACTCTGTCAGCCATTGGTATGTTATTATATGTTCCTACCTCTATACCTAACCCAAAATTGCAACACCTGAACTTTGCTAGAATAGATTTTAAATAGGGAGAGATAGATAATGATAGGCAGGTTTCTATATGCAGTAATGATTTATAGTGTTTGTAAGCAAAGGAATCTAAAAGGTAGTGAATAGTTGCAGACCATGATTGTTTTAGATTATCAGAAAGCCTAAGTTTAAGCTGCAGCATAAATACCTTGCTATCACCGACATCCCAACACCAAATGTAAATACGATATTTTTTATATTTGTAGCCCATGTAGTCCTACCTGAATCATCAAGCGATTTCAACATGTGGTATACCTGAAATGGGAGTCGATGTGATAAATACACCAATATTTAACCGGTCTAGACATTTAATTAAATTGTAATGGAAGCCTGACACATCCCCCTAGAACTATACCACTACCTACATTTCTACCAACTCTGAGGTATTGTCTGCAAATCTTAATCTGAAGGCCTTCAATACTTTCACAATATGATGTGTCCATACCTCAGATCCATAACACACAATATGCAGGATGACATAATCAATCAACTTGAAGAGATCCTGAGCTGACAGATTGCCAAAATGTTTTGAAAAGAATAGACAGATATAAGTGCTTTATTACCTTCAGAGAGCCGACAGTGTTGAACCTTAGCCCATGATAGCCTAGGAATAAAAGGAGCACTATGCCAAGATACAACTTCAATTTGTTTACCTTCGAAGAACCAATTTTCATAATGCCTTAAATATCCTGAGTTTCGAAACACAATAATCTGTGTTTCCTCCAAGTTAATGTGCATAGCATATCTGTAGAGCATTTTGCCTCTTTTGCAACTTAAGTGCAGTATCAGCAACTCCTGACACATCATCAGCAAATATTAATGCATAGAGATTATCAACATTAACACTGATATCAACACTTTTTCCTCAAAAACTTTCTTGAACTGAAAAAAGTTGAGATTACACATAAAGTAGAGATTGTAGTGCCTTGGGGCTACTGCACTTCCTACTTTACCAACAGAAAATGAAACCATGAATCAACAATGTTATTCGCGGTGAAATATGTCATACATCCAACTTCATGTTAACAAATGCAATACAAAATGTTGTGCATTTATTAAAATATCAGTCAAATATCACATTCAAGGATGAGAATAAATTGGGGTTGTGGCTTTCCTATTCTTTGGTAAATACGAAAAATATTTAGACATGGGAGTTAAAAAATACTTTCTTCCACCGTAGCACTTGAGTGAGTAGAGTGATTCCTTAGTTTCAGTGACTGCGAGTATTACAGTACTTATTCGGGTGACTACGGTGATCTATTTGAAGGTGATATTTCTGTTGACGCCGTACATTTACTATAGACACGGGTTTAAACAATAGCAGAATAATCGACTGAATACGGTAACTGAAAACTTGAACATTGAGAGTATAGGTTTATATGAAACATGTGAGAAGGTAGTAAGTGTATTTTAATGACTACGGTAATGAAACTGGCGTCTATGATGTGTAATACTTCACGCAATGTTATATCCGAATATGCAGGATTCATCATTGCTATGGCAGCTTCTGTAGGCGCCTAAAATGTAAATCTACTCATATAGCGTCTGATTGGCGGACCCGTGAAGGTCCGGGTTAGAATGAACCTTCAGCAACCCATGCTTGTCGTAAGAGGCGACTAACGGGATCGGGTGGTCAGGCTCGCTGGTTTGGTTGAGACATGTCATCGGTTCCCAGTTTCGCAGATTGATGCTCATGCTGTTGGTCACTGGATTGTCTGGTCCAGACTCGATTATTTTCAGACCGCCGCCATATAGCTGGAATATTGCTGAGTGCGGCGTAAAACTAAACTCACTCATTCACTCACTCTGTTTGACGGGATGCACAAAAATACAAAATAACTAACTTGACTATGATGAAGTTGATTGAACTACATGAACGTTTATCTGTTTCACGCAACTAGTGAGTGAGTGAGTTTAGTTTTACGCCGCACTCAGCAATATTCCAGCTATATGGCGGCGGTCTGTAAATAATCGAGTCTGGACCAGACAATCCAGTGATCAACAGCATGAGCATCGATCTGCGCAATTGGGAACCGATGACATTTGTCAACCAAGTCAGCGAAACTGACCACCCGATCCCGTTAGTCGCCTCTTACGACAAGATAGTCGCCTTGTTATGGCAAGCACATGGGTTGCTGAAGACCTATTCTACCCCGGATCTTCACGGGTCTTCACGCAACTACTCTGAATACACATCTGATATGCCATGCAAATGACAACAAACAAGGAATGTTAATGGAATCACAGATGTCCAGTAAAAGAATACAGGTTTTGTATATTAAGGAAATATACTGAGTCAAAAAAGAAACTTCACATTCTTTCTTCAGGGCACTAGAAAAGAACAAGAGATAGTAAGATGGTTAAATTGTTATTATTTCATTGCTGAGATCTGTGTGATGTACTCGATACACTGACAGTGCCATAATCAGTTCCATTAGGCTACACCGCCGTTCCAAAACATGGGTATACAGAATGTCAAGTCACAAGAATAAAAATGCGTATATTCTCAGTTCAATATCGTGTATGGCCGCCCCGCGCATTCACCACTGCCAAACACCGTCTCCTCATCGACTGCCTGATGCTTGTGAACACGTGGTTGGGGATTCTGCGCCATTGCTCTTGCAAGGCAGCGCCAAGTTCCTGCAAATTCTGAGGTTGGTTCCTAAGACCACGAAGCCTTCTCCCAAGTGCATCCCAAACGTGCTCTATTGGATTAAGGTCAGGGGACCTCGATGGCCAGTCCATGACGTTGATTCCAGCGTTTTGAAGGAAATTTCGTGTCAACATCGCGGTATGCGGCCGAGCATTATCATGCTGGAACTGTAGACCTGGGCCATGAGCTGCCATGAAAGGAACGAGTTCAGGGGTGAGCACCTGGTCGCGGTAAGCAGCAGCTGTGAGGTTTCCACGGATGACCAGAAGTCGGGAACGGTTGTTCCCACAGAAAGCACCCCACACCATTCAACTTCTTCCCCCGAATCTGTCGACTTCCTGTACACAACATTGGGCATACCGTTCACGACGTCGTCTCCAGACTCTATGCCTGCCGTCCGCGAATCTGAGGGTAAACCTGGATTCATCGCTAAAAACGACTCGATTCCAGTCTCTCTGGGTCCATCGGAGCTGACGTTGGGCCCACAGCAGACGTTGACGTTGATGAAACGGCGTCAATATTGGCCCACGATATGGACCTCGAGAATGGAGATTGGCAGCCCGCAACCGATTTCGAATGGTCTGTGAGGACAGTCGACCTCTAAACATCTCAGCCCTGGTTTGTGTAGCCGGCAGAAATCTGTCACGTAGGTGACGTAGGACGATTTGACGGTCTTCTGCTCGTGACGTCACACGTGGACAACCCGACCTTGGGCGATCAGAAGTGGTGCCAGTTTGTTGTAGACGACCTCGCAAGTCATACACAGTACGACGGCTGCATCTCATTGCTCTTGCGACGTCAATAACTGATCTTCCCGCTTGCAACATGCCAACGGCACGTTGCACGTTGCACATTTGACAATCGTGGCATTTCAAGTACCGTTAGAACTGTGGTTTTAAAGTTTTTTCAATTCTTGAGGCCAATGCAAACACGTGCATATGAAGAAAACTTCGATGCGAAGATCACGTGATCGACTGCACGTGCAAAACCTGATTTGGCACTAACGTCATTTGCACGACGAATGGCTGGGTTTGAGTGGGTTTTGCTAACGTTTTTCTAGAGTCGAAAGATAGGGATCCCATTTTCGGATACATAGATGTATCATCAGAGAAAAATTATTCATTATTTTTCAAGTTACATTCAAGTTTCTTTTTTGACTCAGTATATATACGTTCTGGACGACACAGTACACCTGAGAAACATTGAATGGAGAAAAGTACAAATAATGAATAATAAGTTAATGCCAGCCATTTGATCATAGCGTGTACATATTAAATTAAGCTCCACAATGCCGTAGTATTGATTCAAATACAACTGATCATTTTCTGGACAATAAGGACAATGAAATAGGAAACCTCACAAATAGAAAAAAAGCCGTTCAATTTTTTTTATGAGAGGGGATGCTTTGTCTTTTCAAACATGGTGAACCATACTGAAAAAAGGTCAAATCACTGGGTTGGTTGGAGGTCGAATTAAAATAGGTAGCTTACAGCTACACACTCGTTCTAGGCCAATCATTTTAGCTATACAAAGAGGCGATTCAAAAAGCAAAGAATTTAGCTATACAATGAGGCGATTCCAAAATCAACCAAAGCTATGCGTTTAAAATGTGTGTGTGTGTGAGTGTTTTTTGTTTTGTTTTTAAAAATCCCTGTTTAGACTAACCTGTAATAGCATCCATGAGAAACATGCAAGATGATGATTATCATATATTGGGTACGTTTATATACACACGTATGAAAGACGAATCCTCGTTTAAGATAGTCATTGGAATTTTCCTAAAAGAAGCTTCAAATGCAAATCACATCCTCCCTTGTAGTCCCCGTTGAAGGGGCAGCGACATTTATTTTACGTCAACTGCGTGAACCAATTGAAAGTATTTTCATTTTGCTTCCAGTGTCAGCAAAGTTTTATAATTGTATGGTATCCAAAGAAATTGGAAATCTCCTAAAATAGGCGTCATACCAAACATCCTGTGTAACACCTGATTAAGGTCCAGGAACATTTATTTTGAACCAATTAAAAGTATTTGTATTTATGTTTCTAGTGTCAGCAGAGTTTTCAAAGTGTATGCTGTACCAATCTCCCCCACCATTTCCCCCCATGCGTAAACTGTCACGTGATGTCTTATGAATAATTGAAACATAATACCTCTGAACTTCTGGTCTCCTGACGCAGTACGCCTGATCAGTTTGTGAGTATCATCCTCTGTGAGCGCTTCAAGACGTGCTCAAGTGGCAGTATGCAGCGAGCAGTGACAGCTACTGTTTTCTTCATGTCTGTACTGTCCACATGCAGCACAGAGAAATGTGGACTGCAGATAACAGCGAGGATGAAGAACAGGTCCGTCACGTTAAGAAATATCGACATCAAGTTGTGCCAAACGAAATGCACCCAAGACACCTTCATTTTTGCATCCTGTCGTCAATCGAGTACTGAAACAGGGCAGACAGGAGGATTCAGCGATCACTCTAAGAACACCCCTTACGTAAGTAATTGGAATCGTTTGATGGCAATGTTACATGTTACACATTGTGTTTTAAACAGTGACTGTAAGACATTGTTTCGTTTAGGATTCCGATGATGGGAGTAGTGCGTATGGTGCTGTATGAGTGAGTGAGTGAGTGAGTTTAGTTTTACGCCGCACTCAGCAATATTCCAGCTATATGGCGGCAGTCTGTAAATAATCGAGTCTGGACCAGACAATCAAGTGATCAACAGCATGAGCATCGATCTGCAAAATTGGGAACCGATGACATGTCTCAACCAAGACAGCGAGCCTGACCACCCGATCCCGTTAGTCGCCTCTTACGACAAGCATGGGTTACTGAAGATCAATATTCTAACCCGAACCTTCACGGGTATGCTGTATGAAGTGTGATCGTAAATATCTATAACAGTTGGACCAATCCTGCATACTATGTATGATTTTGAAAGATCATTCAGACTATATAAGAGGGCAAGAACAAGACTCTATCATTTAATTTTTTATCAAAAAGAGCGGTTGTGTGAAGATCATCTAATAACAATAGATAGCCAGTCTTGGCATATGTCGAAAGCCTGACCCTGTTGCTGCCAGGCGAATATATCTATTACTTACTTTGGTATTATTAATGGTATTTTACACTGCAATGTATAGTAAGTTTGATTTCATTTGAGACCGATGAATTGCTCACTAACACATAATCTAATACAATGTACATGCAACAAGATCAAGCTTGGCAGTCACATGAAATCGACAGACCAACTCTTATGATGATTTGTCTTATAATTTTGGACACCCGAATAAAAAGGTTGTTTAGCAAACGATCGTTATTTTGTTGTCACTTTTCACTATTTCTTACGAGAGAGTGCCACTTGCTGGTAGAACAGCCAGTTGTGCGAGTTGCACATGTGAAATTTAAATTTCACTACGCACACTTGTTGATATGAACGTGTTCAGCTCCACGTTGGGAGCCAGCGAACTGGTCCTAAATCGTCTTATCCACATGGCCTAGTCGCTTGACTAGCAGCAGGACACAGGACGTAGATGTCATCATGACTCCAAACCTTATAGTGTGTTGATAAACACACCACAAAACAATACAAGTGCAATACCCTAATTAAGATGCATGTTTGTACAATCACATAAGCCACATTTGTAATTGATATTGAAAACAGAACGTTGTGTCAAATGTTTTGGCATGTTATGTGAACAGAACCATAAATTGTGTTACAGCAGCATTGACTCGCTTACCACGAGATGCACAAGCAGAAGACGATCTACACCAAGCCTGTGAGACCGGGAATCTTTCAGCTGTACGACACATCTTATGTCAGAGGCGGGTGGACATTAACTGCAGGCAGTCTGGGTGGACACCGGTGATGCGTGCAGTACGAATGGGACATCTTGAGGGGATGAAGTTACTTGTGAACAAAGGTGCTGATGCATCACTCCTTGACACAGACGGTGACAACATCCTTCATTTAGCTTGTAACACTGGACTTTTGAAGGAGGTGCATTATGTCCTTTCACTGGACGTGGTGGACATAAACAGTAGAGGATGGAGACTGAAGACACCAGTGATGATGGCGGCGGAAGAAGGATATAGGGACTTGGTTGAGTTACTTATAAATAAAGGAGCTCATGCGTTGCTTGTTGATATAGACGGGAACAACTTCCTTCACTTGGCCTGTGAGAACGGATTTGTGGAAGTGGCGCAATATATCCTGTCTCAGAACCTAGTTAACATTGAGATCAAGAACTCACAAGGACAGACAGCAGTCATGATGGCACGAAAAAACAAGCTAAAAGGCTTATTTGATCATCTTTAGTTGCGTTACGGTACGGGAATTAAATATAATTATTGCCCATACATCTATGGTCTTTACATACATCAAGGCCCTTGTATCCAGAGATCCAGCAGTATGATGACACGCCACCATCAACCAGGATGCATGTCCATTCTGACCTCAACATTCACTTCAGCTCATCCGAAAGTCCGGTATTAAAGGAAAACACCTGCTTCGGCAACCTTGAACTTGACCAAGGACTTAGTCATCTAATGACACCCAATAGCATGGTCCTAAAAGATAGTCAAACGGGCCATCTCAACCTCACACCAGGCAAACCACGAAACGGCCAGACTTCGTCGCCATCAGGATCACCCAAACAGCCATTCAAAAGATCGAGATGAAAAGCTACCACTCATCGAAGTAATCTTAAATGACTACAAGAAAATATGGACAGGGGCCCCGAAGAACATGAAGCTCTAATATATCAGACATGAATGGTGTACATATTTTCAATCTGCTTAATCAAGCATATGACAACGGATGACTTTGTGAAAGCCTTAATCAAATCTATATGTGTGTCTAAAACTCTAGCCACAAACTGGTCTGAAAATATGGACTTCGAATAAATTTGTCAACTAATTTATCAGGGTAAAGTGCCCCAAAATCATTAGCGGTATGTACAATATGTACAATCCTGTGTCAGTCTGTACAACCCTATGTCGTAAAGCCATCATTACTATTCAGTACTTCCCCTGAAGTGAAGGTGTACGTCAGGGGGTTTCTGTTTCTGTTTCTACATTGTTTCCTCTGGAAATCTTTTGTTCTGAACGTGGCTCTCCCATGTAAAGCTTGTTTGCCTTACTTGCCTTACAAGCTAGATGCCTCCGTATGCATCAAATTTTAACCTCGCCCATCGAGTGCACCGTAACTCACCTACCCTCAATCCTGCGTTTATATTGCCATCCCCACAATCATCTGTTACCCGAAATGCCAGACCTGGAAACAACTTGGGCGAGTGTTCAATAAGCCTTTGTCCTTTAGCAAAGGTCCCATTTTGTCTCTTCTCCACTATCGTTCTTTTTCTTTCCTTGAAATCTTACTAACTTCTGCTATTCCCACCAAAAACAGTTTCAATAGAAGAGCGTTTGACTTGTACTAATGATGAAAATCTTTGTATGTCACATGGCCACACGCAACTTCCTCTGGCTGTGGAGAGGGTGAGGTCGTGTGACTTTGTGTGCTGGCGAATGCGTCCCTTAATCTGAGCGTGTTGGTTCGAATGACTGAAGAGACACAATGTTAAAAGATTCTAGAATCTGAGAAAGTGTAATCCCAGGTTATTTATTGTGCTCCGTGTTTCCATGAACGTTTTTTTGTCGATACAAGAGATAATATTTCATCAAAGAACCACGAATGAGGCAATTTCGGAATGTCCCTATTTTGGGACCATTGTTGCAGTGAGAGGAATATCACCATCGTTATTTTTGTTACTATGTTACTATGCTTTTGTATTGCCTTTGAATGTGTACCACTCTATGTATTACTACATTGGCGCCTTTGTTGTGATTTGTACAGATCTATAAGGTTACGTAATTAAAATTCTTCAAACGTATTAAGAAGTTGGTGTAGCAATACAAGACAAATCTTACAACTTCTCTATTTGTTTATCACGACGTTTCTGGGCTATTTCTTGCCCCTTCTTCAGGTGGATAGTGACCATGGTGAATAGACCGCCTTCGTGGTGTAGTGGTTAGAGCATCCGCCCGGAGAGGTCGCGGGTTCAATCCCCAAGAGACGTAAAAATATGGTACTTGTTGTTCCCTTCCTGGCGCTCGGCATTAGAGGGTAAACAAGGCCTGGCCGGTTCGGAGTCAGTATAATGTGTCTGGGAAAGGTATTCATGCTTAACTGCGGCCTGATAACTCACTGAGCTAGCACTATAGAACCAGTTTAAATCTGGGCTAGTACAAGCAGCCACACATACACATGAATGCACGTCGTCATATGATCGAAAGATTTTTTTTTTAGCACGACTTTAAACTCCATTTCACATCACAGTACGGTATACACATACCAATATACATATATGAGCACAACCATCCTATCACTATCACCATCAAGTCAACATTTTCACCACTGACATCACCATGACTTCAAGAGGTACATCAACGGCATGGCGATGAACAGAATAGTGACATCAATGACATCACCATGAACCCATGAATCTAATCACATGCACCACCATCGTCCCGACATTTCCATCAATGACATCACTATAAGCTCAGTTGGTACATAACCAACGTTGTCATGAACTCAAGATTCACCACACCGACAAGTAGATTCAAGATTATGCAACGAGCAAAACGGCTTCCAGAAGAAAAGAAGTACAACTGAGCATATATCTACGTTGACGTCACTTATTGAGACAAGAAAAAGTATGGGAAAACAGACATTTGCCGCCCTCAGCGATCTCAAGAAAGCTTATGACTGTATTGACAAAAATGTTCTGTGGGAAACATGAAGCGACTCGGGTATAGTTAAACAGTAGCGTAGCGGGTGATATGGGCTGGGTTGACCCGGCTGTACGTCAGTGGAAAAGTGTGAGCTGAGTCTACAAGAAGTTGTGTGACATAAATCAAGATAGACTTTGTTTTAAAGTTTTTAAGTGGGCAAATGAGATGGCTTAACAGAAACGGCGTAACTGGAATGTTCGTGTCCATATAGTTACACAGTATGGACCTAGAACATTATATTCCCATAGGCAATTCATTTCATGTTAACCATGTCACATCAGAAGTTACTTGCAGAGTAATGGGAATTTTAAGGAGGAATGGCGGGCGACACTGGAATATCCTAACAGTAAGCACGGCGATGGCGGCAACAAACCTGTATACCTGCAACAAAAACTTCGGCTGTATAACCAGTTTAAACGTTCCTGTGGTGTAGAACGGTATATACAGAGCTCCCTCCCCATGACATATCGTCGTGCGCTAGCCCTCTTCAGATGTGTTGTTGCCTGCCTACGAGCTGAGACTGGGCGGTATTTCTATTTTACCTCTAGCTGAGAGAGTGTGTTTTAACTGCGAGAATTGTGTGGAAGATGAATGTCACGTATTATTGCATTGTCCTGTGTATACTGATATTAGAGAAGTTCTTTTAGTTAAATGTAGCAGTATATGTGATAGTTTTAATCATTGGAGCGCCTGTGATAAAGTGTTTTAGTTTATTGTCTAACCCAGATATTGTATTTTTATCAGCCAAATCCTGCAAATATGTTTGAGATATAGGAAGGGACATTTTATACAACGATATGTAAATCATGTTATGCATTTTATTGTCTATAATGTTCTTACATTCTTTGAGTGTCTTTCGTAACCCTAAATGGGTGGCTCGGCAATGTATGTTTGTACTTAATTGTATTTTTATGTTGTATTGTACGAGGTGGGACCGAAATAAACTATCTGTCTGTCTGTCTGTAAATTACATTAACACAACAAATGAAACATTAAGTAATTAGAAACGCATGTGACAAAATACATACTTGCACATCATATATATCACACCCTAATTGAACGTTTATTATCTATAAGAATAGGACTTTTCAAAGTACAGGCTTAGAATTGAACAATAATAAGGAAATACTAGTATACGTTCTGGAGGAATCTGCGACACAATACACTTAAGGAACATTGAATAGTGCAAAGTACTAAACACTAAATAATAAGTTAATAACAGCTATTTGAACATAGCGTGTTCAAACAAACTGGGTGCCACAAACAAATAACAGAACCCAAATATTATTTGTCTTTTGACCTGATCTTGTATGCTGCCAGCATAGCATTCTCATGATATCAGGATCATTGATGCGTCTTGTCTCATGATAAGCTTTGTCATTGTTGCTGATAATTCGGGAAGCAGGGTTGTGTCTGTCGTCTTTTCGTTTTCCTTTCGAGATGACGCAAAGTATAAACGGTATATATCATTACCCACATCGTCCACTTATTTTGGGCAACTGTACACGTGCTCGTGGACTTTACCGTCAACATGTGTCGATTTCCACCTACACTGAGCTGACATCCCATGTAATAAGTAAACCTTCTATCAGCGTTCAACTCAACTCACTTACAGTTGTATACTTAACACTAATGATTGATAACATTGTTTACAGACACACTGAGAACCTGTACCGCTTTCATAAGAGTTTCATGGCAAAAAACAAATAACAGTTTTGTGAATTAATGTCGTATCAGTTTCAAATTGTATAAGAAATATGTTTCTGGCAATGCGGTCAACGTTCATGCAGGGGTTTTACATGTAATTTTTGGTTAGACAAAATATACGTTCGGCCAGTGTAGAGTGACTGATTTCGATAAAAGATGTATCTGAGTTTCAGTGATTGCAAATATTTCAGTATTTATGCATGTGATTACGGAGATGTTATTGTAGACGATGTTGCTGTTGCTGTTGACGGCATACATTCAAAATAGACATGAAGCTAAAGATGGATATATAAATATGAAGTGAATATGGTAACTGTAAACTTGAACACTATGAAGAAGGCTGTAAGTGTATTTACATGACTACGGTGATGATAATCGGGCGTCGGAGATGCCTAACACTGTACACAATGTTTTCTCCGGATATCCAGATACTTATCCATAGTGATGTTTTGGTGTGTAACACAGATATTGAATTCGTTGTTGCAGTGGCATATTCTGTAGGGGTGTGCTAAATATACTCATATAACGTCTGACTGGCGGACTGTCCGAAAATACGATATAATTGGCACGTGGAGTTCAGCGGTAAACATTGCTTAAATGTATACAATTGTGTGAACTGTATGAAAAGTTTGTGACTAAAGTACATGAATATTTCTCGACACTGAATATACATTTGGCATGTCATACAAAATTCACAACTAACAAAGAATGTGAATGGAATCACAGATGTCCAATCAAAGAACACTGGTTTTGTATATTAAGGAAATATACGTTCTG